TATTTTAAAGTCCATTTAAATAATTTATAAAATTAGAGTTCGCCATGTTTTTATTCTTCGTTTAATTTCCCCAACAATTAAATTGTAAATAATAATAAAAAAGATATAAAAAATTATAATCGTACCTTTATTTTATATATATATTTTTATATTATATATATTATATAATTATATATATATATAATTTTACTTTTCTTTTATTAATATATTTCGTTGCCGTCCATTTTTGACACTTTAGATGTTAAATTGCTTATGAAATGACATAACGACTTTAAGACAAAATCAATTTTGTACTGAACCCAACTTAACTATAGATATTTCTGCCTCTTTGTGCCTTGCCGGAGCCATCACTGCATCGCCGGAACAATCATTTCACTAAATCAATGCAGATCCATCACCCGATTTTCTGGTCAGTTTTCAAAAAATAAACAAAGAATGTAAAGAAGGCCAAGGCAAGGTATTATTTAAAGAACGTTTAGCCGGGCGGAGCTCAACACACGATGTAGTGGTGTACGTGGAAGCTCTACAAAATCATCTGCTTCAATCCAACGGCCCTTGTGTTTTCTAAATCTTAACCATCCATTCTTATCTAATATCTACCGCTAAAGATTTAACTGGTGGTGGAGATTATAATCTCTCAATGATATTTTTATACACATTTACTTTCTCTCTTTAGACGTTGACACAGTCTACATTGATTTATTGTTTGAAAGTGAAAAAAATAGACGGAATAGGTACGTAGTTTAAAGGATCGAAAATATGAGAACGTAGTTATTTTAAAAAGAAATATAAGGGTAAATTAGTTCTTTTTAACAAAACAAAACCGTATAATTATAATTTTTCCAAAATGATATTTTTATACTAGAATAGTAAAATTATTTGACACTTGTAATATATATTTTATTATAATTAATAGAAATATATTTTATTATAATTAATAGAAATATAGAAATAATTACAAGTAATCTTCTTATATCATGTTGTAAAAGTTATCAGAGCGAGAGATTTCGAGTTCAAATCTTTTATTTTCATAAATTTGGTAAGCCAGAGAGAGAATTACACAATAAATTACTCTCATAGAGTGAAAAATCTCGAGTTTAAATATTTTATTTTCACAAATTTAATAAGTCAGGGAGAGAATTACACAATAAATTACCTCGTTGTATGATCCTCGGTCTTATTTCAGTCCCTTTTCAATAACTAAGGGAAGGTAATTGTCTGCTTTATCCCTGCCCTTGGCTGGCTCACTTAAAATCTACCATGGACACCAATAATTACAAAATATACCCCGGTAGGAATTGTTCCATGTATCACTGCTCAACTTTTATATAAGTGCCAACCGAAGACACAGAGAAAGGAAAAAAACTAAAGCAGCTAATCTTGTTCTGAAATGACGAGCTTCAGTAAATTTGCTGTTGCTTTTTCTTTAAAATGCATAATCTTCTACCTCCTGCTGGTGCAGCTGAGCCGCCAAACTCTCTCCATTGGAGGGAATGAGACCTCCTCCATTGGGGAGGAATGAGAAGAAATTATCTAGCCTTGTTACAGTTCAAGGCAAATATGCATGATCGCTCAAAATCTGATGAGCTCCTGGAACTGATTCACTCCCATTTCTGCAATTGGGAAGGAATCAATGTGGCCGCACATAGAAGATGTGACCGTTTTTTTATCCTTCGATCTAAAGGGTTTAGTTGGTTTTCTCTGTCCTCCTTCGTAGGAAACATGAAAGTTTCTTTAGGAAGCTTAGCCCTTCCAAACAACTGAATTGCAAGGTGAAATCCCGCACCTGAATTAGGCTAACTTGTTCAGGCTTCAAATTCTAGATCTTGGCAACAACTCCATTGAAGGGAAAATCCCAGTTGAGTTGTCCAACTGCTCTAATCTTCAGGGTCTTGCGTTACCGCGCAACAAACTAGCAGGAAGTATTCCATTTCAGCTTTCCAGTTTGTCTAAACTTACTGCCCTTTTTATTCACAAAAATTATTTGAATGGAACCATTCCTCCTTCCTTGGGCAATCTTACCTCATTGGAAATCTTAGGTGCAGCAGGAAATTTCTTGATTGGAACTATTCCTGACACCCTTGGCCAGCTCAAGCGTTTGTCAATTTTTGATATTTCAACAAATAAACTCGCAGGTGTGATTCCTCCTGCCATTTATAATATTTCAACCACCATCACCGGTTTTTCTGTGTACGAGAATCTACTTCATGGAAGTATTCTATCAAATATTGGCCTTCTCCTTCCTCAACTTCAGTTCATACAAATATGGGGAAACAATTTTAGTGGTCCCCTTCCGGTTTCGTTATCAAATGCTACGAAACTCGAGGAGATCGATTTATCACTTAACAACTTCATTGGAAAAGTAGATGTTCACTTTGAAGCCATACCTTTACTTAGTTTCTTATCGTTGGGTGGAAACAGTCTTGGAAGCAAAGAAGGTGATGATTTGAATTTTATTACCTCTTTGCTCAATCATAGCCATTTGAGTGTATTAGATTTGCAGCATAATAGGCTAAAGGGAATTTTGCCGAATTCGAAAGCTAATCTACGAAAGCTAATCTATCTTCATCTCTCCAATTTCTAATAATTGGGCATAATCAAATATATGGAACACTTCCTCACTGGCTTTTTACTCTTGTTAGCTTAACAACAATGATTATACAAGTTAACCAAATTACAGGTACTATTCCCATGGAGATTGGTAATCTTGAAAAATTGCAATGGCTAACTCTTGATCATAATAGATTATCAGGACCAGTTCCATCATCCATAGGCAACCTATCATCATTGATTTCATTGATTAGGCTTCATTTGCATAATAACAATTTTCATAGTGCAATCCCTTCTGGTCTTGACTGGCATAACATGTTATTCTTGAATCTTGCTGGAAGCAACTTCATTGGTTCCATTCCTAAACAACTGTTTTCCATCCCTACCAAGTTAGTATCACTAAGTTTATCACTAAACAACTTTGAAGGAACTCTTCCTTCAGAAATTGGCAATTTATTAAATCTGAATGACTTGTATGCTTCAGAAAGCAACTTGACTGGCGAAATTCCAAATGAACTAGGTCAGTGCAAGAGCCTTGTGAACCTATACATGGATGGTAATAAATTTCAAGGCACACTACCTTTATCATTTGCTTCTTTGAGAGGTCTTCGAGTGTTGGACTTGTCTAGAAACAATTTATCAGGCAAAATTCCTGAATATCTAGAGAAATTTTCATTGGAATATCTGAATTTGTCTTTTAACAATTTCTTTTAAAACAATTTTGAGGGTGAGATTCCAATCAAAGGTGGTTTTGCCAATGCAAGCGCAATATTTGGTTGAAGGCAACACACAGGAATATGCGGGAGGCATACCAGACTCAAGTTGCCAAGATGTCGTATAAGAAACAAAAGAGATAAAACTAGATGTTGTCCAAACTTGTTTTTAGCAATTCCAGTATCAAGGTGGTTTTGTGTTTGACTTCACTTGTTAATCTTTCTTGTATTGTAAATTTAAAACAAGAACACCAAAGAGAGACCTCCCGACATGCTATTAAATCTGTTTCAAAGCCTTTCGTATTATAACAGGATTCTGAAAAGGCAACTAATGGGTTCCTCCTTCAGAGAACTTACTTGGTGTCGGAAGTTTGGTGCTGTCTATCAAAGGAAATCTTTGAAGGAGAACGGAAGGCACTGATTGCAATAAAAATTGCAATAAAAGTAATTAATCTTCAACAACAAGGTGGTGTAAAGAGTTTTATGGCTGAATGCAAAGTCTTGCAAAACATACGTCATAGAAATCTTGTGCCAATCATAACTTCTTGCTCGAGTATAGATTTTCAAGGAAATGATTTTAAAGCACTTATTTTTGAGTATATGCCAAATGGGAACCTTGAAAAGTGGTTGCATCCAAGTTCAGAAATGTATATTGAGGCAAATGAGCAACCGAGTCTAAATCTTGTTCAAAGAATGGACATTGTAATTGATGTGGGGAATGCACTGGATTATCTTCACAACGGTTGCCAGGAGCCAATCATTCATTGTGATCTAAAGCCAAGCAACATTCTTCTTGACAATGACATGGTTGCTCACATTGGAGATTTCGGTCTGGCAAAATTTCTCCCTCAGATCATGAATCCAGTTCAAAGCAGTTCTCTTGGTGTAAGAGGAACAATTGGCTATGCCGCTCCAGGTGATTAATATTTCTCCCTCACGTTTGATATATACATAATCTATATTTACTTATTCAGTGTCAACACTGTTTTCTTACTTTTTTTTTTTTTTTGACTTTTTTTTTTTTTTTAAATTTGTCAATTTTTTTTAAGAATAATGGCTTAGGAAGTGGAGCTGTCCAAGAAGTGGAGATGTTTATAGGCTATGGAATCCCTTTTTGTTGGAGATGATGACAGGAAAAAACCTACTGATGAATATTTTGCAGAAGGTTCTTAACCTTCACAGTTTTTGCCTAGAAATGGCATTACCTGATAATGTGTTGGAGATTGCAGACCCAGCACTCTTTGAAGAAAAGATGAAGGTGTAAATGGAAGGAAGGAAAGTTGAATGCCTAATTGGCATAATTAAAGGTTGGGGGTTTCATGTTCCTATGGACGTCTCCTCAAGATAGAATGGACATGGGTACTAGCAGTCCAGCGAAGTTTGCTTTCAAATTAGAAATAATTATGTCGCGAATTGAAAAAACGTGCGAATTAGAAAAACAGAGCCTTCCATGCATAGAAGTAAGTAATTTATCACTTCCAATTTATACTTTACTTTGACTTTCCAAAATGTTTGTGAAGAATGATAAAAATGGCTTCTGGAACCTGAAAGCAGGGGAGAATTTGTTTATCCAAATTATTCTACAAAAAATCAGAAATAAGAATATGGTTTTGGAAAGCTGTTGATAAAAATTAGAAGTCATCTAAATTAATTTCTTCATCTGGTTATAACAATTAAGTCTACTACATAAACTTATGTATTTCCTTTTTTTTTAATTAATTAATTAACTTATTGTAGAATCATGAAGCTGAAATCTGAACAAGTGAAAGCAGCTAAAGGAGCAGTTTCATTTGGATTTTCTTGTAATTTGGATGGTGAAGCTTTCTGTAACCTTTGAGGTTGTTAATCTATTTGATAATTTTTTTTTTCTTTTCATCGTAAGTATATATTACTGCACATTAAACCTTTTTACATAGATTTTGCTGGTTCAAGCTTAACTACTTAAACAGTCCAATGAAGAGCTTAATTTTTTAAATCCAATGTACAAATCCCATGTAAGTCTAGCTCAACTGCCGTTGCTTCTTTCTTTCAATTTAACATAACTAAATCAAATTTTAACATGTGAATTCTATATTGAGTTATCGAATCCGATTTGAATTCCAACTAAAAGACAATCAATCCTTGTTTCCATGTATTGAAGATCTGATTGCTTATGATTTAATATAATATTATGATCTCCTTTACTATAAAAAATAAAAAATGTGGCTGGCTGTATTGAATTTGAAGTGCAAATTGACCAGACTCTAGTGCGTGACGCAATTGCAAATACTTTTAACCTAACTATCAATAAATTTTGGACACCCTTACGCTATTAGAGACACGTTGATGGTGACAATTTTGACTTACTTGTCCATATAAAAGATTGGAAAATTAATGTTGTTAAATCATAGATTAGATTAGATAAGGAAAAACAAAAACCAGTTAACCAGCTTGTTCTGAAATGATGAGCTTAAGTACACTGGTTGTTGCTTTTTCTTTAAAATGCATCATCATCTACCTCCTTCTACTGCAGCTGAGCCTCCAAACTGTCTCCACTGGAGGGAATGAGACAGATTATCTTGCCTTGTTACAGTTCAAGTCCAATATTGTTCATGACCCTCAAAATCTGATGAGCTCATGGAATGATTCACTCCATTTCTGCAACTGGGAAGGAATCACATGCGCCCGCAAACACAGAAGAGTCACCATTCTTGATCTTCAATCAAAAGGGTTAGTGGGTTCTTTGTCTCCTTATATAGGAAACATGAGCTTCCTTAGGGAGATTAGTCTTCAAAACAACACATTGCAAGGTGAAATCCCACCTGAGTTAGGACATTTGTTCAGGCTGCAAGTTTTAAACCTTGGCAACAACTCCATTGAAGGGGAAATCCCACATGACTTGTCCAATTGCTCTAATCTTCTGTTTCTTCGATTATCGCGCAACAAGCTAACAGGGAAGATTCCATCTCAGCTTTCCAAGTTGTCTAAGCTTATTAATCTTTATATTTTTTATAATAATTTGAATGGACCTATTCCGCCTTCCATTGGCAATCTTACCTCGTTGGAAGGCTTCTCTGTACGAAGAAATTCCTTGATTGGAACAGTTCCTGATACCCTTGGCCAACTCAAGCACTTGTCACAGTTTATAATTGCCGGGAATAAACTCTCAGGTATAATTCCTCCATCTATTTATAATATTTCAACCATCACTGAATTTTACGCATATGAAAATCAGTTTCATGGAAGTATTCCATCAAATATTGGTACTCTTCTTCCTCAACTTCATGAACTACGGATATGGGGAAACAGTTTTAGTGGTCCTATTCCTGTTTCATTATCAAATGCTACCAAACTTGAGAATATCGATGTAGGAGAAAACAGCTTCACTGGAAAAGTAGAAGTGGACTTTGGAGGCCTACAAAGACTACTTTTTTTAAGCATGGGTAGAAATAATCTGGGAACTGAAGAAGGTGTCGATGATTTGAACTTTATTGCTTCTTTGCTCAATTGCAGCCATTTGAGTGCTATTGAGTTGTCTAGTAGTAGGCTAAAGGGGGTTTTGCCGAATTCAAAGGCTAATCTATCATCTCTCAATTTTCTGTCGATTGGGAATAACCAAATATATGGAGAGCTTCCCCAATGGTTTTTTACTCTTGCTAGCTTAACAACAATGAGTATACAATTTAACCAAATTTCAGGTATTATTCCGGCGGAGATTGGTACTCTTGAAAAGATACAAAGGATATATCTTGATCATAATAGATTATCAGGACCAGTTCCATCATCCATAGGCAACCTATCATCATTGATTTCGCTTCAATTGGGTGAAAACAATTTTCATAGTGCAATCCCTTCTAATCTTAATTGGCATAAGTTGTTATTCTTGGATCTTTCTGGAAGCAATTTCATTGGTTCCATTCCTAAACAACTTTTTTCTATCTCTACAATGTTAGTTACAGTAGATTTATCTCTAAACAATCTTGAAGGAACACTTCCTTCAGAAATTGGCAAGTTGTTCAATTTGTATGAATTCTATGTTTCAGAAAACAACTTGACTGGCAAAATTCCAAATGAACTAGCTCAGTGCCAGAGCCTTGAAATCCTATACATGGATGGTAATAATTTTGAAGGTACATTACCCTCACCATTTGCTTCTTTGAGAGGTCTTCGAATCTTGGACCTATCTCGAAACAATTTATCAGGTAAATTTCCTAAATATCTAGAGACGTTGTCATTAGAACATTTGAATTTGTCTTTTAACTACTTTGAAGGAGAGGTTCCAATCAAAGGTGTTTTTGCCAATGGAAGTGCAATATTTGTTGAAGGTAACAATAGGTTATGTGGAGGCATACCAGAACTCAAGCTACCAAGATGCATAAATCAAGAATCTAAGAGAAGAAAACTAGACATTGTCAAATTTGTTACAATTGCAGTCGCAGGTGTTTTTTGTTTGACCATCTTGTTAATCTTATTACACTATAAATTTAGAAAGAAGAACAGCAAAGAGAGACTTTCTAACAACATACCGGGAAAAGCATTTGTAAATCTTTCATATGAGAAGATTCTAAAGGCAACTAATGGGTTCTCTTTAGAGAACTTACTTGGTGTCGGAAGCTTTGGCACTGTCTATAAAGGAAATCTTAAAGAGAATGGAGGATTCGTTGCAGTAAAAGTAATCAACCTTCAACAACAAGGTGCTGCAAAGAGTTTTATGGCTGAATGCAATGTCCTGCAAAACGTACGTCATAGAAATCTTGTGCAAATCATAACTTCTTGCTCAAGTATTGATTTTCAAGGAAATGATTTTAAAGCACTGATTTATGAGTATATGCCAAATGGAAACCTTGAAAATTGGTTGCATCCAAGTTCAGAAATGTCTACTGAGCCGATTGAACAGCCAAGTCTAAACCTTCTTCAAAGAATGAACATCGCCATAGATGTTGCGAATGCACTAGATTATCTTCATTGCGGTTGCCACGAGCCAATCATTCATTGTGATCTAAAGCCAAGCAACATTCTTCTTGACAACGACATGGTTGCGCACATTGGAGATTTTGGTCTAGCAAAATTTCTCCCTCAGCTAATGAATCCAGTTCAAAGTAGTTCTATTGGTGCAAGAGGAACAATTGGCTACACAGCTCCTGGTAATTATTATCCTCCTATTTGATAGATACAGAATTCATATTTATATATTACAGTAAAAGTTGTTTTTTTACTTTTTTCTAAAAATTTTTTGTCAATCGTTTAGAATATGGCTTAGGGAGTCGACCATCAACAAGCGGAGATGTTTATAGCTATGGGATCCTTTTATTGGAAATGGTGACAGGAAAAAAACCTACTGCTGATATTTTTGCAGAAGGTCTTACCCTACACAATTTTGCTAGAATGGCATTATCTGATAATGTGTTGGAGATCGTAGACCCAGTTCTCTTACGAGAAGATGAAGGTGTAATAGAAGCAAGGAATGATCACTACAAAAAAGTTGAATGCCTAATTGGCATGATCAGAGTTGGGGTTTCATGTTCAACAGAGTCTCCTCGAGATAGAATGGACATAAGTAATGTAGTTAATGAGTTGCTCTCAATTAGAAATAATACATTAGAATTATAAAAGCAGGACTATCCATGTAAAGGAGTAATTTATTACTTCAACTTTACATTTACTTTGCGAAGAGCAATAAAATCATTTAGTTGCTTTATCTTTTTCTTTTTATTAAAAAAATAATTATAACCCCAAATGAACACTGCAATGGTTCTTCGAATTCAATTAATCTCATATTCAAATCCTAATACAGAGAGCTCTAAAGAAGTGGAGGAACTATTCACCTGTTATGTTGCATAACATGGACCAAATGAAAAATAAATAATTGTCTACACGATCCCCACCCACCCATAAATACACACACGGATCATAGAATAAACACTGACTATAACAGCAAAATCATGGATAGAAACACTGAAACAATTAAACCAATTCGTCACCCTAGCCGGAAGAATGTCTAGTTCTTACAAAATTTAGAGGATCTAGCTGCGATTTATTTCCAACTTAAGATTTCTGCAATATACAACTCTCAGCTAAACAGTCCCTCCCCTGCAAAAAGAAATGCCATTTACAAGATTAAGGTGATGAAAAAAAAATTTACTTTTTATTTTAGCTAAAAAATAACTGTAAACTGGAACAAGTAATATGCCTCAAGTATAACCATAGCCCTATTAAAGTGTCATTAATTTGGATATGCCACATTGTAGGTCGTGTTGGTAAATGGAAGAGAGAAATAAAACTTACGTAAATCCTCAAGTGAAATATCATTGATGGTTTTTCCACTTGTTATAAGGTGAACTTTCCCTGCAAAATGCAAATAACAGGGCAACAAATGTTAGGGATACCCATGTGATTATCTTTTTAAGATAAATTTTATTCTCCATCAACCCTTTCAATACCCACCCTGTCCCCAACAAAAATAAATGAGAACAACAACAACTATCTTTAAGAGAATGTCTAATATAAAACTGTCTCATAACTATGCTCAGCGCTCTATTATCTTTCCAGATATTGACAGTCCTCACTCTTTGAAATCCAGCATTATTTGAAATAAGACACAAAGCTACAGAGTTGAACTCCCCGAGTAACAAAATGAATTTGAAGTAAGATTTTAAGAGCAAATTTGTTTTCATTTTATGAAAATAAGTATGATATCTTTTACACCAGAAGTTAAATGTTGGGAACACAAGTCAGAAACTAATTATGGCTGGATCAGCGATGTTTGCATTTCACAATGAATCATTCAAGAAGGAAAAACAGAAAACCTTATTCAATGTCAGCTAAGAACAGAAAAAACAAATCATCGAAGCAGAAGCAAAAATACTTATTCAACACTATCATAAAATCTTTAAAAGAGGCACATCATTGAGTAAAAGCAGCAAAAAAATGACGGAGCTAGGTTGCATATTCAAATATACAGACCATCACGACGAACACAGATCTCTGGAATGTTTTTAACTTGACCACTTATACTGTCGTTGTAGACTCTAATTTCAATGTCACCCTCAACATAAACAGATGAACTGCACCAAAGATACATTAGTGAGACAAGACCAGATTCAAAGAAAATTTAGCCCATCTCTAGCAGAATAAGAGTTAAACTTAATTAAGAAATGGATATATACTCTTTGGCAAGCTGTTGAACAGCATAAGCTCCAAGTGCCTCATTATGCACAGCAATTCGATGCCACTGGGCAGGTTTTGGCAAGTCTTTTGCCCCTGCAATTCTTTGGTCAAACATGCCTCCAGTCCCAACAGTAAATATGGTTAGAGTTCGGCCATTCCTCAAGATCTTCTGCACAGGAGCTTGCCCAATTTTTCCACAGATGATCGCCTGCATAAAATCACAAGAAGTTGGACAGACATAGAGAAATAACAGGTATAACACAGTCAATTATCTAAAATTTATACTTTCGGTGAATGCATCCTATTCAACACTTGTATACGAATCTACAATGGAATGCTATATAGTCCAAAATCCAGAATAGTAAAAAAATTTCAAAAATTAACATTTAGTAATTGAAGACTTCACATCAAATACCTTGTGGACACCGCGAAAATCCCAACCTTTCCGGGGATCAACACCTTGTAGTTGTAGCTCAGGGTTTTCACCAAGAATATCATCAAAGTCCTTATCCAATTCATCATCTTTTAAACCATCATTTTCTCCATCAGAAGACATAGTTGAGTACCATGACCTCAAGCTTTGTTGCAAACCCACCACTGCAATCAAACACAGAGGAAATTGGGGAAAAAAAAAAATCAAATTATCCACCCAAAAACACCCATTTCAATATATCCACCAACTATTCGATAAAATGTCTAGGAACAAAAATGATCAATACTTGCAGTTAAAACATGCCTTGTATCAACAATATGAATATATATATAATTTTTAACTCACATAATCATTTATACATAAAAATAACAAGCACGCACACGCATACACGCTCATACATATAAAAGAGGAGAAAGATGACCTGCAGGAGAACTAGGCGTTGTGGAAGAAGAAACTCTCAAGAGCTTAGCTAACCTAATAGCGAGTGAACTCATTTTTAGGGATTCGACTCACTCAAAACTTTGGTTTAAGCTTAGAAGTGTGTCCAGCAGTGCGCGCCCCAGAACACGATACAGAGACGCGAGAAAGGAGGAGGAGCAAAGAAAAGAAAAAAATATGTGGGCTAATTGGGCCTACAATCAACCAAGGTGGCCTATACAGCCCACAAATAGAGGATAGTTTCTTGGTTGATAAGCCCATGAAGAATACTACCAAGAAATATATGTTATGTTATTGAAGGCCAAATACGTAAATTTGCCTCTAGACTTTATAAAAAAATAATTTATGACACCTTAAATCTCACCGAAGAACTATCATGTCTCTAAAATTACAAATTTGATAATATTCATACACATTTAGAACAACTTTTCGAATAATAATTTATTACATTTTTCAATTATCATATAAGTTTTTAATTAATTTAATTTTATAAATTAAAGTGATTTTTTATCCGTATATTTCTTTATTTTATACTTGTGACATTTTTATTTTAGTCAATCCAATTTGTCGATGTTGAATTGTTGTTCATATCGATGAAAATTGAAATTTATAAGGAATTAGTCGATGATGCTCAAACCTGTACTTATTTTGAATGCCTATCTATTTTCTATCAGTATAAATTAATCACGAGTTGAAATATTTTTTAAAAAATGCAATTTTATAAATTGAGGTATGGACAAAGTTAAAATTGATGTTACCATAAAATTATTAATGTATGCATTTAGTATGAAATACCTAAAATTGATAGTGTGTGTGTGTATATATATATGTATATATATATATATATGGAGCTAGATTTCGCCTCCTATAACCTTTTATGGATAAGGAATTTCCGGTCTGGGATGCTATATAACCCTTGTGGGGAATAAACATATCACAGGTCAGAATGAATCTGATGCTCTAAAGTTATGCTTTGCAAGAATAAGCCCCTCTTCTTTTTTACACCAATGCAGCTATTGAATCAGCTGTTTGGTAATAGAAATAGGATACATATATAATAGGATAGGAATAACGGGTCTTAACATGCTAAGATAAAAAAAGATCCCTTAGGCAAATCATTCCCTTGCTTCTGTCGTTACATATATATTATATTGACTATTAATTCATATAAATATGTGAAAGTGAAACTATTTTAAAGATTTTTTTTTAATATTTGCACAAGCTATTCAGACCCGTGTCTGTTTAACGGTTCATAATTCTGATTAATTTCCACTCGCTTCGGAGGCAAAGGGGATGGCCCGGAGAGAATTTGTGTTGCAGATAATCGAATCGAACCCATGATCTAAACTATAGTGATCAACTATTTTAAAGATTCCTTTGATTCAACTATTAGTAGTAGACTAATATTAATAATTTTTTCATCCTCTCAAAATAAAAAAAAAAAAATAATGATGATTAGTAGTTGGTAACTCATAGTCAATTGCTATTTTATCATTTAGTTTTTTTTTTTTTAAAGTATATTTTATCATTTAGTTAATTGTTGTTAAATATGGATTTTTTTTATAAATGCAACGTACCATCAATTGGTATTTTCATTTAAAAAATATGGATTTTTTTTTTTATAAATGCAGTATATACTTAAATATCATTTATTTTATTGATAAAATTGCTTACAAATATGAGATTTAATCTGAATATCACTGTAGATCCGAGCGTAGAAATATTTGTAAAAAAAAAAAAAAATAGTATTTTGATGATTTATGTGATAGTAAATAAATTATAAAACACTTAAGTTTTGTTGGGATGTGGCATTACCCATGCCTCGTAGACAAAAAGAGACAATCAAACTAGCCTTGGTTTAGGGCTAATAGAAAATCCAAACAATTTTTTAAAACACATTACTTTCAAAGAATAAATAAAAAATTATATATACAGCACTATATGCGTTGGATCCAATTAAAATATGTCAAACGTACCAAATTAGGTCCTTAATTATATCATATACCTAAAACAATACTCTTAGAAGACACAGTTTTCATGACATTGAAATTGACAATTTCAAAGTTGCTATGGTCCAAAATTTTCTATTATTTATTTATTGATTTTGCATTAAAGATTGTATCGATATTATTTTATTTGTGCAAAATTAATTCATTTATTTCTAACTATATATAAATATTGAACACTCAGGCGTCTTATTTAAAATATTTGAGCTCTTTCCACTCAAATCAATCTCTATGGGTATTTTTTTTCCGTATTTTCTCTACACTTGAAAAAATTTTTAAAAGAAATAAAATTATTATAATTTAAATTTCGAACTCTGACCACTATATGCTACAAGAGTAAAATCAAATTTGTGGTTATATTTTATTTAAAAGAATATTATTGAAAAATTAATATTTCTCTTATAGTCTAACTCTATAATATAGAATTTTAAACTTAACCAACAAGATATATATTCGCAGAATAAATTAATTATTAGGGTTTTCTTTATAATTTCCTTTTCCTTCACATAAAAGATTCCAACACCGATTTAAACAAGTAAACCGCCTATATGTCCCATCCTATATAAGCTTTTAGCAGAAACGAGCTTAAGGCTCTATATAGCCTAACGACAGCGAAGAGAGCACTTCAAGAACACCGGAAGTTCAAGAAACAATTATGAAGCAACAAGAAGGACAGACCGAAATGAAGAAAGAATTGGCTCTTCTTGAGGAATTTTGCAGTCAAGAAGAGATCAGTTTGGTTAACAAGATAAAAGAGCGCCTTGAAAGCCATGGAGATGGATATGTGTACAAAGACTTCCTCCATGGATGGAACTTATACAAGAAAGGTCATATGGGCAAGCATGATCTCTACTGCGACATGGTTTCTATTCTTTCATGCAATTATCAAGATTTTCTTGGAGAACTACTCAAGTTGTTTTTGACAGATTCTAATTCTGTTTTTACTTTAATAGATGATGGTGTCGAGGCTTGAACTTTTAGGGTCGTACGTAATATATCTTAGTTCTTGAGTTGGCATCAAGAAAAGCTCTGGTTTGATGTTTAAATGTAATCGGGAAAGGGATCCCCTCTCTCTCTCTTTCCCTTTCTAAATCAGCAGAAATAAAGATATCTGTTATATATATCGTTGCTTTTAAAGGGTAAATTTTGTTTTAAGATGCTGCAAACTGCAAAAAATCATTCATATTATATATTAAAGAATGTTTTCCATTTACATGATTTCCGCCTCGAAAAGTGAGATGAGACTCACATGGACGACGGATTGAGGTACAGGTAAGTTTTATCTATTTGATTAAGACTATTAGAGTTTGTTAGGTAAAATTAGATGTTTTATAGTTGTTAATTATTCTAGCTGCTATCAATTTAATTAGTGTTTCATGAAAGGTAACTGTTGTGATGAATAAGGTAGCAAATAAACTTATTTACAGAAAAGAATGATTTAATTAGATTGAGTTTATAATATATGGACTAAACTAAATAAATTTTAGAAAATCATAGATGATTCGTAGGTTAGGTCTAGACAAGTTTTATTATCCTTTGCGAAATATTAAGTTGCTCTTAACCCTTATACTAGAGGTTTGTGTTTCTCCCAACCCTAATTTTGAGCACATTTGGATTTAACTAAGATGATTCCGATTTTCTCCGTTGAAAAGTTAAAATGAAAACAAAAACCATTTAAAAATAAACCAAATCGATTTGATTTGATAGTTTAATTATTTGGAAGTGTTCTCTATTACCTAATACGAATGGCTGATGATTGACTATAATCAGTTTGCACGCTTGAATTATATACACATAATTAATTAAATATAATAAACTTTAAAATGGATGATGGTGTTTGGCTTCATATATAATGTATTAGTAGTTGATTTGACATCAGGAAAATAGATATATAAATCAGTTGCACGCTTGAATTATATAACACATAATTAATAAATATAATAAACTTTAAAATGGATGATTGGCTGTTTGGCTTCATATATAATGTATTAGTAGTTGATTTGACATCAGGAAAATAGATATATATTATATATAATATATTATATATATTATAATATATATATTTATATATATCCACACGCAACACCCATGATGCAACTGACGCAGAAATGGCAAAAATGGAAAAATGGCGAAACGATACAAGAAAATGATATTTTCAAAAAAAATATATATCCACACGCACACCCATGATGCACTGACGCAGAAATGGCAAAATGGGAAAATGCGAAACGATACAAGAAAATGATATTTTCAAAAAATATAGGAAATGATATTTTCAAAAAATATAGGAAATGGAAACATGAGGAACGCGTAAATATAAAAAAATATATGAGGTTTATTTATAAATTTAAAAACATAGGAATAAATATAAAATAATTTAAAAAGAGTACATTTAAAAGTTTTAAAGGACAATCAATTCATAAGTTCTACTCAATAAAGAAAAAAAGAAAACAAAATATTCAAATGTCAAAATGGAAAAAAAAAATGGAAAAAAATAATGAAATTCTGTCAAATTTGAAGTTTGAATATTGAAATTAAAAGTAGGATTATTTGTCTTTTCTTAAATAAGATTTGCAAATCATCTAAATTTGATTGGATTTGAAATTTTTTTTTTTTTTTAATACAAGAAACGTTTCCAGGAAGAGATAACGGGTTTCTGATTTTCAGTATTTACGGAAACAGATCCGACATGTTTTCGAATGTTTTCGTTTTTGAAACATTTCCGAAAAGCTGAAACATCAAGCCTCTCGTGTATTCGTGCATCACAGACACACACGCAATATTTAAATTCATTTTTTTATTTGATCAAAAATCAATTGAGACTATTAGAAAATTACAGATTAGTTTTGGTGTCAAGAATGAAATTTTTATCTATAAGGTAACAAATAAAATCATTAAGCAACTGAATTGGCATATTCTTAAAATTTGTTGCGTGTTTCTTATTTAACCAATCAAAAATTAATTGTGAATTCTTATATTTGATTCATTATATATATGGTAATATATTTATTGAAAAACATGCATATTAAATAATAGAATAATGTACGATAATTAAAGATTATTTTCTTTAAAAAGAAAATTTGGTGAGAGTATATGACTGATCATTTACTATAATTAGAATGCATGACTTATATATATATATATATATGTATATATATATTAGTGGCACTTTCCTTATTAGCACAAAATTAATTATTAACTAACTATGTACCTATGCATTATACCCAATTTGTAATTTTATTATATTATTTATAAGAATTCAAATAATATTGTATACTGTTAATATTTTTATCGTTATATTCCAAAGTCTTGAATTATAAATTTTACTCCCTCCGTTTAATAATTTTTGTCATATCTTTCTTTCTCATTTGTCCTAAATTATTATTTTATTACTTCTTTTTAAGAGTGAATAATATGTAAATTTTATCATTTTATCATTATTTAATATTCTTTTTTATCAACAATAATAGTCAAACTACTACATTATATAATATAAACAAAAATAAAATATCAGCATTAATCTTCCAAAAAACTCTATTAATCAAAAGTTAAATGTTTAATTAATTGAACCAAATATCTCCTTAATTCAATTAAATTCAATTACTTAATCGTAACAGTCGTGTTTATAATATTCACGAAAAGAAATTATTGTCAAGTAATAAAAATTCCATTATTTCCATTTGTAGGGTTATCCTCTAAAAGTAAATATTTTCTAAGCAACAGTTAATTCTTGATTGTTCCTTCCTATAAATCTAAGCATTCCATTTTGTCTGATTTAGCGTTTTCTTTTCAAATTATACAAAATATAAAAGCAGAAATATCCTCTACATACATAAACACAATATAATCATCAAAAGCATGCAGCAACCATGGATTATTTTCTTGATCATATGGTTAAACCTTTATTTAGGAGTAAGTGGAGCTGTAGAGTGTAAATATGAAAGTGAAGAGTCAAAAACTATTAAGTACACAATTACTGTTGGAAGATCTGGAAAAGAACAGCTCAAAACAATTCAAGGAGCTATTGATTCAATTCTTCCCAACAAAGATTATTGGACTAGAATCCATGTGAGTCCTGGTCTTTACATGTAAGTAATATCAATATATCGATCGGGTTTTCCGACGAGTATCACCGGATCTTTTTCGGGTATGAGGCTGATCTCGTTCCAGGTTTTCGTGACTGACAAATTATGCTAATTTGCATGCAGGGAGAAGGTGATTATTCCACCGGAGAAAACTTGTATTTATCTTGAAGGATCTGGACGTCATGATACAATAGTATATTATAATGGACATGAACAAACAAATACGAGTGCTACTTTCTTCTCTTATGCAGAAAATATTGCTGTAAAGGGTTTTACGTTTCAGGTTTGTTTGGGATACTAGTTTCAGTTTATAGTTCTTTTCTTTTTCAGAGCTCTTGGCTTCGTTCTTGATCCCTAAGTTCATGTTTCTTTTTAGCTTAATTTATTTATTCTTAGACAAAGAAAAACTAAGTCAATTTAGGAAAATGACTTCTCATTTTAAGGAGAGAAAACCATCTTTTGGACTTTGACAAATTTCTTATGACCTTGTAAATATATTTTTTATTTTATTAATCATCAGTAGCTGCCAGTTAGTTACTTGCCAATTTCGGCTATCATCACTGGTTACTGAAAACTGTAACAATTTATTACTTTTTATGCAGTTTTTCTCATATTTAACAATAAATTTTTAATTACAAATTTTCTGCGATTGAAAGTATTTTTATGGACTTATAAGTTCAACATTTTAATACTTTTTAACTAATTTTCAATATTTAATCAAACAACAGGATATGAGTTATTTGGAATATATATTTAAAGGAAAACATTTTATTTCCAAAGACAAATTATTTTCTAGAAATAGGGAATTATTTGTTGAGTTGTGGAAAAAAAAATCTGATCAAAAACCTCAAAATTGATTCTCAAAAATCATGCATTAATCCAAAATAACAAAACTTTTTTTCTTAACCAAAAAGTGAAAAGCCAAAATAGCAATTAAGTGATATTAATATCTTTTGTTCTCTAATTCTTTGAAAATATATAAATAAAACTTAAACTCAATTTTCTTGAATGTTTAGAATTCTTATAATCGTCCATTAACGGGAAAGATTGATGGCGAGATAAAGCAAGCAGTAGCAGTAGCAATTTTTGGCGACAAAACTTCCTTTTATGGTTGTCGTTTTGTGGGTTTGCAAGATACTCTTTGGGATGCACAAGGCCGCCATTATTTCCGCAGTTGCTATATTGAAGGTGCTATTGACTTTATATTTGGAAACGGCCAATCAATTTATGAGGTAATAAAATTTTTCTTTTTCTGATACATAATAGGTCCACTGCATCCAAAGAATGTAACCCTCTGTTTCACTAAATTTAAAATAGCAGACTCAAACTCTGAATCTTTTCGCTCTCTATATTTTATGTAAGGTACAGTAAGATCAATCAGACCACACCTGATTGGCTAGGTACTAAAATTTTAATATATTAAAAAATTCAAGTTATTTGTGCTTTAAGAAAAAACACAAATAAAAGTGATATTGCTGATAATTATTTATAGTGTCGAGAAATTTAGAGTATTAATTAACTAATTTTTTTGAAACAATTTAATTGTAGAATTGCAAAATCAATGCTACTGCTGGGAGCCTACCCCCATATATTCAAGCAGGTTATATAACAGCACAGGGCAGACTTTCTCCAACAGATCCAAGTGGTTTCGTGTTTAGAGGAGGCATTGTTTCTGGGAGTGGTAAAAACTACTTAGGCAGAGCTTATGGTCCTTATTCAAGAGTAATATTTGATGGAACAACATTTGCTGCAGTTATTTTTCCTCCTGGATGGAATGCTTGGTATTACCCAGAACAACAGTAAGTCAATTTAAATAGAACAAAAATCTCATATTCGAAACTGATCATATGTGATCTAGTTGGTCAAAAATTCAGTGGACTTCGTTAGTTGGTTGCATAATATACTAACATGCATTTAATCCCTCAAAACCAATGTTCATCTTTGTTCAGAGGTAATTTTGTGCATGCTGAGGTCTACTGTAAAGGACCTGGATCAAACACTTCTGGAAGAGTTCCATGGGTGAAGAAGCAGCTTGGCCAGAGAGAAATGAGCAAGTTTTCCAGGTCTTTGTTTATCGACCACGATGGTTGGCTTGCAAAACAACCGGCTTGGCGCCATCCACATACCAACCAGCCATAATTTATTTGAACATATCATCCATTGATTTATCATTAATGATGAATAATTGTAAAGCATTTTGATTCAATCACTACATCTGTTGTATTCTGCAATTTCACACATGTTTTCAATAGTTCAATTTATTTTTAACATGGGCTGCAAATAATTGGAAACTTGGATTAAACATGCTGAACATGAAATAATGTATAAAATTTACCTTTTATAAGTTGATCTAGTGTTGTCTAACAATTAGGTTAGCGTGAACTTGTTAGGATCAAAATACAAAGTAAAACTATTAGTGTGTATACTCAGATTATGCTGATTCCACAACAGGTACACTTGTATATGTACAACTATAACTTTCCACCTCTGTACCATTTTCTTTGACCTTTGTCCATGAAATCTTCCACTTCTTGTACAGACTTATCCTGCATAGTAAAAGAGGAAAAAAAAAATCTATTTTAGATACTAGGGAGATAGAGATGCATGTATAATAAATAAGATTTTCTTTGTTTTTTAAGCACATGATAATGGTTAGGAGACCTGAAATGCTTTCAAAACAAGACAGCAACAAACAATATCCTACGAGTCTGTTATGCTAGATGGCGCAGACTGCCTGATTTTCCGAACATGTTTGATTCCCAGCAATCAATTCAGCATTTGGCAATTATTCAACACCTCATGTTATGAAGTATCTATCTTTGAGAGTATCAGGAGAAACAAATAGAAATTCAAGAAAAACAATTCAGTGCAGAACAAGATACCAGCTAGAAGAAATAACATCTCTCGTTATATTTTCTTTGATCATCTTCCTTAACACCCCACTTACAGTTCTCTTTTTCTGCAAGCGAGTGCTAAAAATGAACAAATTAGTTATTATAATTGTGTTTCACCCATGCTAATATGCTCATCCGAAAAAGTCTTTTTTATTAGTGAAGCCAGGTTTAGTAAGTAGAATTTGGTTCAATTTACTAGGGGGCATTAAATAACCAGTGATTCTACCCTAATAAGTTAGCAAGTGAAGCTATTGCTATTATAAGAACCCAACAACAATTTTCTTTTGAGACAGGTTATCCAATGCTACTGAATGCAGCTATTTTTATTAAAAACTTCCAACCCATTAAAATCAGTCGTCAACCACAACAATAAGCTATTAGGTAATCTCCCTCCAGAGAGAGGGGGGCCGAAGGAAGTGTGGTGCTTTCGTATTCTATATGTCTGGAAGTTCTTTATGTGATAAATACCATTTACTCCATCAACAAGTTTAGATAGCAATGGTGAAAGACAGCATCTTGGATATCCACTAGACTAAGGTTGATGAAGATGACCAAATCCCTCAACATACAACTAGAAATATTCTAGGCACAAAGACACTGGCGGCTGGGATTTTAAGGGCAAGAAGAGAAAAGAGAGACTAGGTAGGGCAATTTCATAAACGATAGCAGATATAAAAGCTAAGGAATGGTGGAAATTTTAACTTTATCTAACAAAGAAAAATAGTAGAATAATAAAATGAAATGAAAATTCTCTGTATTGATTATTGCATTTAATATAATTCCCAAGCAACTAACAGTGTGGCTGCATTTAACAGGGAAAAGACGATCTTTGAAGCACAAAAGATTGCATAATAAGAATTCTGCATTATACCATTGCATTGGAGCTGAAACGAAATAAATGCATAAGGGGGTCAAAGGTGGCTTGAAATACCTCTCTGTTTCAATACTCCTCTTTGCAAGCATAAGCGTCAAGAAGACAGGAACCATTGCAGCACATAAATGCTTAAGAGTATGTCCACTGACAAAATGATGAGTCCAACTGTATATTTGTTTATCCGTTGCTTCTTCCACCTTAGCTAAAAGATAAAATCCTGCAAGAGTGGGTACAATGAATGTTCCACATTCCAGAAGCACAATAGTGTTTTAGGAATAATAGTACATAGGAACTGACAATAGAAAACACAAACCTGCTGCCCAAAGCCAATATGCAGAATGTGTATACATTGGAGGCAACAAGATAGCCATCAGCGGAATGGCAATACAAGGAACAAACTGGATCAAAGCATATGGGCGGAGGTCATCAAAAAACCTGTAGGGATGATTGAGATTCATTCAGAAATCACATAACAGAATATGCAGATCACAGGAACTACGAAGCATTGTTTGTGAAAGATTACAAAATGCCCTCAGTTGAAGAATAGACTCAAAATTCTTGAAAAGGCACAGTAAAAGGATAATTTATACCCCGCTCCTAAGACCTTATCACTCATCAGTGTCACTGTCAGCAATGGATCAATATAAGGAACATGAGAGCAGAAGGTCACAGAAGATTATAGAAAACCCCTTAAGGGAGAATTTTTTCAATTTGGCCCATTTCTTATCTATAAAACCAGTTTACTAGTTATTCTCACTAAGATGCAGTGAATATTAGGTTGTTTGTTTAAACTCTAAAGAAACCACTCATCACTTGAACAAAGAAAATCCAGTTGATAAAAATCAACCATGGATATACAGATAAAAGAAGCTTAAGGAATAAAAGCACAAGGGACTTGCCTCCAGTATGCAATGCTTATAATACCAGCCAAAATTAAAGGTAAGATAGATATTGTTCCCTTTCTCTCATCAATCCTTTCAATGATAAAAATAGCAATTATTGAAGTGAATGCAACAGTCATCTGCATTATCAATGGACAGTTAGTAACTCCAAATACGAAAAGCCATCCACAGGATAAGCAAAAGGAGAAAAAATTAATAATCCTTTGTCATCAAAAGAAAAAAGCAGATAAACTCACTGGCAGCCGATCCCACACAAGACGAGCATCATTGGGCTTGAGATGGTAGTATCCAGAGCCAAAAGCAACAGCAGCCACGCCAAGAAAAAAACAAGTCCAACCCCAAAGCTCGCCTTGCAGGCTTTTTATTGTCCAAAAGAAAATCTTTAAGCAATGACTCAACGAGCAACCCCAAAACACAGAAACAAATATCTACATAATCTTTACTGTGGATTATTGAAGAAAATAGGTTTAAAATTGAAGACAAATGAGTGACATGAGACGCAACATACCTCAGCTTAAAATAATTCCCATGAAAGCAAAGCACAAGTCCAACAACACCAATAACAAGGAAAGGGAAATTTGAAACCACATTCAGAGTATTGGGAATTCCTGAATCAAAGATTACAACAACCGATTAAAAAGTCAATCAACACAACAAACTAAACCCAGAAATAAACGCATACAAAAGTTAGTTACTTGACAACTCAATATTGAAGAAACACAAATATAAACGTATTTGGTACTCAAAAGAAATTAAATTTCATCAAATCCATTCTTGTTTTGCTCCAGTTGACGATGCAAATTTGATTTTCTATCGAGTACCCATCGGAAGCTATATATTTTGAGCGCATATATATAGAAATGAATAAAAGGAGAGATGGATAGGTTAGTTACCGAAGAATTCCCGTTTATCAGCGAAATCGTGGTATTCTTCAGACTGAGGGATGGCTGGAGTGACAATCATCAGTACTACGAAGCAGAGAATCGCCACTCCCCATGCGTATAAGGTTCGTTTTCGCATATTTCTGCTTCACTTTCCTTCTGTTTTTGCAAGTCAGAGGGAGGGAGGCGACAATAGAAGAAGAGGGGAGGAAGAAGAACCAGAGGAGAAAAAAAAGGTAAGCTGGACTTCCAAGAATTAGAATTTTTTTTTTTTCTTTTTTTGAAAGGTTCCAAGAATTAGAATTAACACTTCGATTAAGGAAAAGTTGAGACAGAAAACCAAATCTATTTTCTTATATATATATAATCTACAGATTTTTTTTTTTTTTTTTTTTATTAACAGACTTCGATTAAGGGAAAAAAGTGAGACAGAAACCAAAATCTATTTTCTTAATCATATTATAATCTACAGATTTTTTTTTTTTTTTTTTTTTTTTTTTCAAAGGGATGGAAAGAGAAATTTTTTTAAATTTATAATGTAAAATTAAACTTTCTTTTGGAAATTTGTTGTAATTGACTTTACAGCGATATTTAAGAAAAATTTTCAAGTTATTATACTATAATTATCACAATTATCAATTTATTTATTTAATTTATTTAATATTTCTTAATATTTCAATGATTAATAATCTTATATCTAAATTAGCTAATTTTAAAAAAAATAATTAAAACATTAAATTTAAAGAGTACTCTTCTTTCTAAAAAAGAAAAGATCTAAAATTAATACATTGAGTTTTAAATTAAAAAATCCCTATTTCTCTAGAAGAAGAATTACCTATTATTATTGAGGCTTGAAGAAATTTTTTTTTTTTTTTTTTTTAAGGGAGGAAGAGAAATTAAATTTATATGTAAAAGATTAAGCTTTTTGGAAATTTGTTGTAATTTGACTTTACACGTATTAAGAAAATATTTATATATATATAATTATACAATTATCAATTTATTTAATTTATTTAATATATTCTTATATTCAATATTAATAATCTATATTCTAATTAGCTAATTTTAAAAAAATAAAACATTAAATTATAAAGAGTACTCTTCTTCTAAAAAAAGAAAATAAAATTATAATTTGAGATAAATAAAAAAATCCCTATTTCTCTAGAAAAGAATGTACCTATTATTATGAGGCTGAAGAAATAAAAAAATAATCCCGAAATGACAAAGACACAAAAACAAATAAGACATTTACAGATATTTACGAATTTAATGTCAATTTTGCAAATTGACTCTTGTAGTTAATATTCTAAATAAATCCAAAATTAAGATTTTATGATTCTAATAAATAATGTCGTATATTTGTCCAGACAAGAGAGGTACATAAACATTACATTGATAAGTACTGAAATGGGCATGCTGAGAAAATGCCAATATAAATTTGTCATGGAATGGTTAAACAGATTAACCCAAAAATCAAATAAAATTTAGTTGAAGTTAAAAATAAAACCGGTCATCTTTCAGAAATAAATAAATAAAACCGGTCAAAGCGTTGACCATAGTCTTCCTATGTGTGATTGGTGAATTGTGTCATCACAAAGCACTTGATTTTATGTTTCATCAAAACTGTATAAAATTCAACGGTATAAAATTCATTTAAATGTATTAGTAATTCGGCATTTAATTGCTTAAAATTGACACAGTATGATTCCAAAACGATGTTGCTTCGTTCAAAATTGATCACTTGCGATTCTCAGGTGCAGCTTAGCAGGTAAAAACCAAAGCTACACAGCTTGGCAGGTCCACTACAGATCAATGGCTAATATCTGTTACCAATACTTTCGTAGAGCATAAAAACAGTGCCAAAATTCTGATGAAGACAAGTCCAACCATATTATATATCTCATAAAACTAAAACAACATTACCAAGGCTAAGGCTAATGATTTGAGAAATTTCCAGTAAACAGAATAAAGAAAATATAGCAAAAACCAGTCCAACGTAAAATATGAAGCTCACAACTCCCTACTTCTTTTCTTCTTTCTCGGCCTCTGCAGCCTTCTTCAACCTTGCACCAATATGGCGGGTGTTCATCCGCTCCACACGCAGCTTGTCATATGCCTTGAATGACTTCATCTCTTCAGTCACCTTAACAAGCTCTATAGATGGCCTCTCACGTGCAATTGGCAGGTATTCACCTTGGACTTGGGTTGCTGTAGCCAGCTCCTCAGGAGCAGAATCACCAGCCTGCAGAAAGAAAAATAAAAACTTTGAACAGGCTGATATATCCAACAACATCTAATAGCTTCAAAGTATGACAATCATAATTACCTTGAACTTGCGGGCACGTCTTGGGAAGACAACCAATTTGGCCTTGTAGGTCTTCAGCCTCTGAACATTAGCCTGTAGACCCTCCAAAGAGCGGTTTTTCCTGCGATGATCAACAGAAATGCCAATTGTAGGGGCAAGTTTCTTTGGAATTCCTGCAGCCTGGTAAGAAATGATATGTTAAATCATAGTAATAAAGAAAAAAAGTACAGATGTAATCAAGCTAGATCAGTTGTAGCAATTTGCACAATGAATAACGAAAGTGCCAAAGAGAATATACATTTACATGTCCACTTCAGAACTGTGTTCTTGATAAAATAAATAGATGTATACTACCTATTTACAAGCCCTTGGACTACTATAATGAATGAATGGTATGAAACACCAAAACCACAGGCCAAGTTTGAAGCACAAGTCAACAAGTGCCTCTAAATGTGCATTTAATAAAATAAGACAAATCAAGGTATGAAACCCATATACACACAAGGATAAAAGGAATAAAATGTGGATTAAAACAACAGAAAAACCTTATAAGATTAACAGCATATATACATAAAGACAGACAAACCTTGAGCTCTTCAAGAGTAAACCCTCTTCCAGCCCTCACTTTCATGTTGTACTTCAAAGTCTGTCCATGAACAATTGGGCGAAGAGGTCCAGCTGTGGGCCTAGGAAAGATCTTCACAGCTTTCTTCTGGCGAGCTGAATAGAACAAATATAATAAAATTCAGTCTATAGCACCAGAAAAAAGTTCAGCTACAAATGGGCAAAATGATAAATGAGTGCACATATGATATATAAAACCAAAATTCAGATCCTTCTCTTAAAATCATAAGGAAGTGAATAATAATAATGAAAAAAAAGGCTCTCACCAATTCTTCTCCTTGTTTTACGAGCAGGTTGATTAAACCATGTCTTGACATAGTTTTGCCAGTGCTTCTTAAAGTGCCCATTAGGCACAACATTGTTATGTTTCATGACTTACCTACCTGAAAAGTCATGAATTGAGTTAAATAAAAAAGATCTTAAAATGTATTTCATACAATCGTGTACAAATGGAGAGCATAAAGGTAGATTTTCAGCCATTAACCATGCATCACAAACTCATCAATCTGCAGAAACACTATTCACGAACCATTTTCCTTGTCAGTTGTCTCAATTAGCTAAAACAGGGAATAATAAGATGCATCATCTGGTTTTCGCAGTTACAAGGAACAAACTTGCATTATATCAGTTAAATTGGGATCATCAAAAGGTTCAATCGTTATGTGGTATATGCTAATCTCAATGACATTCAAAAACAAAGATTTAGCTGAAAAAAATTTCCTGTTACAAATCCCAAATCAAACAAGAAGATAACAAAGCAAATCCAATTAAATTCAGGTAATCAATAGCTGCTTAGACTAAATCTCACAAGCTAAGATTTAGTGACAGAAAATGAAGAGATTGAAAATGGAGAAAAAGCAGAAAGTGACAGAAACTTACCGTCCGGTCGAAATGTAGCACTTGGCAGGAGAAACCTCTCTTCTCGGCTGCAAGCGACTAAGTGAAGTCTGTACATAATCAGGGATATAAAGAAAGCGAAACAAAACCCTAGCTAGCTGTGTCTCTTTGAGGTTGGGCCTGATGGATTGGGTCAGGCCTATACCTAAGCAAAACATAATTACGGGCTCAACGGGCCTTTGTTATTTTATAATCACGTTATCTAACCATCCTAATGTAAATTGAGCCTCATGTTGCAAGTTTAACGTGTATTACTACATTATACTTCAATATTTCTAATACGATGTGTCACTGACAACTATATTACTAATTACATTATTAAAATAATCAAATTAGCACGTATAATTAGGTTTCCATTCATTATTGTACAATATGTAGCAAAAAACAAAATTACAACACAACTTCAACCACGTTATAGTATTTTTTTTTTTTTTTTTTTATTCATTATTGCTCTATGTAGCAAAAGTGTGAGCACAACTGTGACTCAGTATAGTATTTTTTTTTTTTTTTTATGATATATATATCGAAATAATCTCCATTATCGCTCTGCTCCTCCGCTACATTAGTTCCTTTTTAATTGACGCTCGCTTTTTTTTTTAAAGTATCCCCAGTAGGAGTTGATTTGATGAAAATTTTTTAATTAATTAATAAAATAATCCAATAAATATGTTTATTAGAATGATCTCGCAGTGAGATATTTACCAGTAGTGACAGATACATAAATTATATTAACATATATATAGATTATTAAAAACTCTAATAAATAGTAGCAATTAGCAGTATTTTTAAATGTGTAACCATTCATTGAAAAGAAAAAGAGTTAAAAAATAGAGAAATATTTTTTTTTTTTTTTTTTTTATGTTTTTTCAAAATAATCTCCATAAGGTTGTTTTGTATTGAGTCCTTTTTTTGAGGTAGATTTTTTAATATCCCCAGTAGGAGTCTTACAATATTTGGAATTTGTGAAAATTTTTAATTAATTAATAAAATAATTCAATTATATATATTTTTTACTAGATGAGTGGATGAGATTTACCTATACTTAGTGTATGAGTCATACATAATTATAAATAACATATAGATTATTAAACTCTAATAAATAAGAGCAATTAGAGTATTTTTAAATTGTAACCATTCATTGAAAAGAAAAAGGGTAAAATAGAGAAATGAACTTATTTAGATAGAATCTTAAACTAACTCATAAACGAAACTGATGAAAATAATATTAAAAAAATATTTATTTTTATTGGTTGGACCATAAATGAATTTATATATTCAGTCTATATAAATTTACTATCTCTGATATGTAGTATGTAACGTTATTATTTCGGTTTATTGAGCTCTTTTATAAATAAAAACAAAAAAGTTTCGATCTTATTTCTTCAAAAATTAACAATGGTTTTGCCGTATTATTTTTTAATATCAAAATCCTTCGATTCTTAATCCAGAATATCAACCATATTCCACACCTGGGCTAAACAATTTCTCATATTAGATTCGAGCAATACCCAAAAACAAACACTCTCTATCTCTCTATATCTCCGTCGTCTCCGACAATAATACCCTCCATTTCCACAGAGAAATTCGAAAAGGAAGACCTCGCCGATCCGATAATGTAAACAAGAAAAATGATTCAAATTCAATCCCTGTTTTCTCTTAACACTGATTCTCTCCTCCATCCCACAAGTTCAAATACATATAATCACTCACTTCTATAGCTATAATATTCAAAATTTTGCATTTTGTATAATACATATACATATATAGATATCTACAGGATCAACAGATAAAAATATAGAAAGAAGAAAAAATGGATCCAGAGCAGACGTTTATAAGGGTACAAGAAAGATTTTCACAGATGCTAACGCCTAAAGTGAGGGCTGCTTTGGAGTATATGTATTTGTTTGTAGCCGTCACTCTCTTTTGCATTCTTGTTGTTATGCACGCCAATTATGTTCAACAGGTGATTTTTTTGTTAAATTTTTATGCTTTATTGTTGTTATTAAGAGGGTTTTTAGTTTTTAAGGATTTTATTTGTTTCTTTGAAAAATATAAAAAATTTCGGGTTTATTATTTTCTTATTGTATTCTTTAGTGCTATCCAGTGATTCTTTTTCAGTTTCCTTTTGAATATTTTGTTTTATCTTGAAATTGAATACCTTTTCAATTTGCTGGAGTTTAAGTTTGATATTGGTTTTTCTTTATAGAAACGAATTCTGCTTTGTTATTTTCTTTTAGCTTGAAATTACTGCATTTCTTGAATGGAAGAACCGGGAGGACGAGTGGAAAAAAGTGTAGAATTAGCAAGTTTTAAAGTATGCGTGCAAATTATATACTTAATTTGGGTCAAGCAGAGGGAATGAAGTAGTGAATGTTGATGTCTTATTGTTACTAGTCTTTCTAACTTCTTATTGTTACTAGTCTTTCTAACTTCTTATGGTTTCCTGATCCTGGAATTTTTTTATGGCCATTTTATTGAGAAATTGATTCTTTTGCAAATGAAGCCTGGATGTTCAAGTGAGTTCTCTGGTGTTGAAACAATGGGGGCCCAGCTTATTCAAATCAAGGTACCTTTTCTTCAGGCTGAAATAAACTTTGGTTAGCTAGAACATCTTGTACTGAGAACAGTTTATTAACTTATTTTTATAACATTCAATTTGAAACTTTGTTTTTGTTACCTTATTATGTCCTTTGCATTGTTTTTATCTTAAAAAGGACTGGCCATTAATTTTAAAATTAATAGTTGATTTTGTGGTCAGATTTATTATTTTGTTAATCTTTTTCCTCAGGAGGTTTTTACTTTCATGTTATTGAATGCTGACTTCTGCTTCTTTGGGTAGATAACTAGTGCAGGCTTGTGGTCACATAATGGGTCCGAATCCATTATAGTAGATGTTCCTTGTGTGGAGTCTCTACCAGATGAGTTAGAATTGTCAAACGTGATTGAAGATGGGTTGACATTTCTGGCTCCAACCTTTTGGTTGAATTGGATTGGTTCAAGTGCTAGGAAAGGGAAGCTAGTGTTGAAATTTTGGAAGACTGATTCTGAACATCTCGAACATCAAACTGGAAGCTCTACCAATGGTGAAAGCTCTAAGCCAATTTTTGATGATGTTGCTGCCAAAACTGATAAAATAGATACACGCAATAGTTTCCCTGTATCAGCCAAGGAAACTTTTAAAGCAGCCATGGTTCATTTTGGTAAAAAGTGGCACAGGCGTCTATCATTCATTTGGAAACATTCAGTGCAAATAATGCGGAGTTTTCAGAAGTTATGGGTGAGATAATGAAGCTCGCTGCTGGTGCTAAATTTATCTTTTTTCTATTCTCATCTCTTTTTGTTCTCTGTCATTTAACTAAACACTACTGTATGATAATTTCTGCCCTCAAAACATTAGGGTGCATTTATTTCTATTACTTGCATGAGCCCTTTCACATGAAATCTTTGGGTTTGAAAGCATGAATTAATACAAGCTTCAAGCTATTTGTTCCCCTTCTTTCTGCTATCCAAACCTTTGATTTGAATAATTTGAATAATTTAGGATTAAATCTATCTAGCCAGGTATAACTGATGGGCATCTAGTTGAGTGCTCTAACTTGCTATTATCATATAGTTTTGTACTCCCAATGTTCTTCTAGTTTTGCTCTTTGAAAAATTTCAAGCCATTTGGTAGACTATAAGAAATATGCTTAATTAGAAATTTTAAATGCAGAATATAACCGGCATCCATTTAAATCTTGATGTTCCCAAGTGGATGAGAGTATTTTACTTGGACAGGCTTAACTCATATGCAGGTAAACTGGTTTCTTGCTTTCCTTGTTTGCCCATTAAAATAGTATCGTGGCTTGCAGAGACCAAATAATTTGAGCTTATCTAATACTCTGCATGGTAGAAGGCTTTTTTTTTTCCCTTTTCTAATGTGTTTTTGGTCCTTGCACTTAAAAGAGGATCTCAAATATCAGGCTGACTGCAGAACAAATATAAATGAAAATGCTGGTTTTTAGTTTAAGGAATAGTGCAAACGTTCATTTTATTTTTACCTTTGATGAGGCTGGATGTGGGGTTATCTACAAAACCTTTAGGTAGAGATTATTTATTAACTATTCAGGGATACAGTCCTATTTAATGATGCTGTAATTGTAAAAGTTGTGGTGAAGTTGTCTACATAAACCATAACTACTACATGGTGAAGGGACTTTCTTTTACTTTTCTTCCCGATTTTTGGGTCTACATGGAGAGAAGAAATGGGAGAACCTTTGAGCAAGAGGCATCATCTCTTTCCATATGCTTTTGTATTTCACTTTTGGGCTACTGGGTCATTATATTATAGCATAAGCTTTAATGCGTCGTGTATGCTGTTTTATCCCATATATGATTCTGATTATATTATGGCTATTATCTTGTGCATGATACATCTGTTATTGCTCACAATTGTTTTTGTTTTGCTATGAAAAAGTGAATGCAAGAGCTCATAAGCTTGTCATAATGGTTTTCTCTATATACCTTGTGTAATATGCTTGATACAATGAATAAGGAGTTTTCTATATATATTTCAGTTCAATGGCTTGAGAATAAGAGCATGGCGTTTGAACCAACTTATTTATACACTATGGAAAAGGTATTTCATCCTTTTTCTTGTGGCTGTTGTTTCTTCATTTTCATTTTATGAATTTAATTATAATAGGATTTTTGACAGCTTTTGACCAAAATTGTGCCATGGTTCCAGTGCTTGTTAGTCTGTGTATCTAACAATTGTTTTGGTCACAGGGTTATTTCTTGCTTCCTGAAGATGCTAAGTCTCGACATAATATACGTACCATTAACATTAGCATATCAGCTCGACATCCTTGTTTTGGAAACAGGTTATATTTCTTAATAGCTACATATCATCTCATAGATATCATTGTTTTGTCACTTGGAATTGAAAATAACTTTTTGAATTGGAAAAAAGAAAATTCCTTAGGACTGATACTGTTGACATCATAAGAGTTAGATAATTGAAAATTCAAGTGGTTGGATATGGTAAATCTCCTAACTATTCAACAGCTTGAAAATTTTTGAATTTATTGTTTGAAATTATTTTGGTCGAGGGTTAGAGTTTGAGGATGGGTTAAAAATTTGTGTTCAGTGGCAAGATGATTGAAAACTTCATCATGTAAAAAGTTGCTGGATTTTCAAGAGTGGAACAAATAGGACATGAGTGAGCCAAGACAAAAAAAACTTTCTTCTTTCTTTTCGCATATTTTTCTTTTTCTTTTGCTATACTTGATAGTAACCATAGTTTAGAACTCTTCAGTTATGAATGCTCAGGTTGTATGACTTTTATATTATTTTGGTAAGATTGGGTTATATTCTTGTCCATGCATCTTTCACTATTTAATGAATAATTTCTTATTTCTAGGTGGCAGCAGCTTCTCATTAATAGAATTGTTGGATATGATACTATCCTGATGAATAGTTTATTGAGTTCTCCCGGACAAGGTATTGGCTTCCGTCCTGGTCGTAATGAACTAAATATGAATTTTCTTTCCTGAATGTGGTTCATATGAATTATATACTTTAAGTCTCATGAATGCATAAGCTTATCGTGGGATATTATTTTTTTTCCTTTAATTTCTTTTAATTGCATTGGCTTTTTTTACATTTCAAGTCTTTGGAACTTCACAATTTAAACTTGATTGCAAATATTTTAGTAATTTCATGGCCCACCATATTTTAAGCATGTCTTGGGACATTTTTGCAGGATATCTTTACAATTTTCAAACAAAGGAGTTCTACAATCTTAGTTATCCACAAGAACCACCTGAAGGTCCTGCAAAGTTTGGAGGTCTGTTGATATATGCCTTCTATATACAGTCACGTTACTTTACATAAAATGGTTGCAATGTCTAGCAGAGATGGTTTCCTACTACTTTTTTTTTTAAAATTTTATCTGATATCCTTATGCTGATATTGACTATTGCTCAGTTTTTCGTGAGAAAATTATTTACTTCATTTGTAACTGATATTTAATTAGTGCCCTCTGATAATTTATGCTTCTTGTTGGCTTCCATGTAGACTATCTTGTGACCAAGTGTGGTGTGCTTATGATGTCGCTGTTCGTTTTCTTCACCACCACAATGTCAGTATCCTTTACATTGAGAGAGACGCAAACTCGCATGTTGAAATTTACAGGTGTGCTTTATTTCATTTCATATTTAGAGAATGTAATACAGTGTTATCACCATTTACATGCATCTTTGTAATTTTGCTTCTTTCTCGTAATTAATTTGTCTCCTTGTTCAAAATCTTGATAGAAAGTTAAACTGTTAGTTGGGTTTTCTAGAAAGTAAAACTTTGTGGTAGTTTTGTAATAGGAGGTCTCTGTCAACTGAATTGTCTCATTTAATTTATATAACTGTATTAGTTGCAAAATCACGATGCTTGGGCAACCCAAACTGCCATACCTCCATCCCCCTTTTCTTCATTTGAAGATGATTGCATGTTAACTTTTCCGAAATTTTGCAGTGCAGCTTCAACACCATGCTCGACATCGGCTTCCAACCTTTCAGTTGATCTTTGTCCATGTGATTGAGTCACTCGTCTTTGTTCCTGTAAGGACAACTCTTGTTGAGCGACTAGTGATGAGATATTTCCAATCAATTCTCCAACTTCTTAGTTTAGTTGTTCATTGTTTGCTTGATATCAACCTGTGATATAAATTCATTTTTTGTAATTTTTATGCCTGTAGCCTTCACTGGGAGATAACTGACTGTCTTCTATATACAATGTGCAGATAATGATTGGCATCTTATTTTTTCTATTCGAGTTTTATGATGATCAGCTTTTGGCTTTTATGGTCTTAATTCTTGTTTGGTTGTGTGAATTATTCACACTGATCAGGTGAGCCTCCCATCGCTTGCCCATGTTATGACTTATTTATGAATAGCAAGATTTTAGGTCTGCTTATGCATTTTTTTTCTTAGGGTGCTGGAGTACATTTGTGTCCATCATTTTAGTTACTGACACAATTACTCTGCTTGCATCCTGAGATCATCCCATTTCTTAGACATTTGGTCCCTTGTTTTATTTGTGTCCTCATTAATAGAAGTTTGAGAATTCCTGTGATCCAGGTTTGATCAATATCAGGTTATAGGTCACTCCTGATGGATGTTCTAAATTTACTGGGTTAATTTCTTGGTCCATTTGCTATCTGATCTGGTGGACACTGTCCTTGGGATGTTTAATTGCGCTTAAAATGAATCTGATAGTTTTCTTGATTCTTGGTGTTTTAATGCTGAAAATTGTCTGAGTAGCTTAAGGGTGTGACAGAATAGATACAAATTAATTCTCAGCCATCAAGCTTATGTCCACATCATTTTACATGCACTATTTAATCAATTAATCATAAGTCGAACCATCATATTTCAGTCTGCTTCAATGTCCAGTTCATGCTCTAGCTAGATGAATGTGTATATGATGCATGCAAATGTGGATATGGGGTGTTATTGTCTGTGGGTTCATTCTTTTTTTGTGCTGCCTTTTTAAAGAGGTTGTGCTTTCTGTTAATTTGCAGTGTCCGTACACCAATATCAATGAAGTTCTTTCCACGCTTCTTCTTGCTCTATTTTCTGGTTTTTCACATCTACTTCTTTTCCTATGCCTATGGTATGGTCCTAGCTTTCTTTTTGACTCATTTTACTTTTAGCTTGAAAATGTTATTTTTATCTGAGGACATTTCACAAACTATTTTCCAGGTTTTTCATATTTGGCTTTATCTACAACCGCAGCATTTATGCAGCACCTCATTCTATACTTCTGGAACCGTTTTGAGGTAACACTCGGAATCTTCTTTTGCATGTTTGACATTGTTATAGTGTTTCCTGTATTATTTTTATGCATTGACCAGCAGTTGTTATAAGTTTGCAATTTCATTCCATGGTTTTCTGTGCTGCATGTATCTCAGGTACCAGCCCTGCAGAGGTTTATGCAAAACCGACGGTCTCAGCTTCAGCAACATCCGGACTTCCACATCACATCCTCTACCATCCTCGCATCAACTCTACACATTACAAGGTTGAACACCAGGAATGAAGGTGTTAATACAGACTTGGCATCTGGACCTGGATTGAGACCTGGATCTGACCAAGCAATGCCAGCAAATGGAATAGTACCTCCTGGGCCTCCACAACAACGCGTGGGAAATGACAACCTGGGCAGAGTAGGCAACACCACTCAGATTCCTGGTCAAACAGATCTTCGGCAAGCAGAAACTGGTCCAAGCCCTGGATCCATGAACTCATTTAGCTCACTGCTGTTATGGATCTTGGGAGGGGCTTCTTCTGAAAGCCTGAACTCATTCTTTTCAATGTTTAGAGATGTCAGAGACCAAGGGCAAGTTTATCCTGACACCCCCAGACCTGAAAACCGCGCGGATCAGGATGTGCGATGATTGTGAGTGCATCTGAAAGGGGTTCAATGTTAGTTTTTAACTGTCAGATATCTGTATTGTTAGCTGATCATATAATGTACGGCGGTGTATACTGGAATGTCTGTATAGAAATGAAATATGTATCAATATCAAGTGTTAACTGTTAACCCTCTTTTGAAGAAAATCTAGAGGGTTTGTTCTGTTGTGGAAAACAGATGATCACAGAGTTATACATTACATCTTGTAGCTCAAAAGTGTTTTACTTGGCAGAATCTGCTCTATGATGAGCTTTGTCCACAAAATTTGCTGCAATATTTATGCTTGACTTACCCTTAACTGTTTTTTTTTTTTTTTTTTTTTTTCAAGTGTTAACTGTTAACCTCTTTTGTAAAGAAATCGTAAGAGGGTTTGTTCTGTTGTGGAAAACAGATTGATCAACAGAGTTATACATTTACAGTCTTCTTGTAGCTCCAAAAGCTCTGTTTTACTTTGGCAGAATCTGGCGCCTCTATTGATGAGCTTTGTCCACCAAAATTTGCCCAATATATTATGCTTGGTGACTTACCCCTTAACTGTTTTTTTTTTTTTTTTTTTTTTTAAATCCTTCCTTTACTATTAAACTATTTTTAATGTTTTTTTTTTTTTTTTTTTTTTAAATCCTTCCTTTACTATTAACTATTTTAATGAGGCATTTTGGCCATTTTGGCAAGTTTATTTGTTTTTTTAATGTTTTTTAATTGATTGTTTTTAAAAGAAAAGGGGTTAATATGGAATTATGGGCTGGGGTTTCAACCTTCATTTCCACCAATATATCTATACAATTTCAGATAAGAATATTAAAATTTAAATTTATTCCCGAATTGTTAATTTATTATAATAATTTCACATATACAGCATATATTTTTTAAATAGAAAATTATAAACAAATTAAAGAGAAATTACAAAAAAAATATATATATATTTTTTGCACCGGCCATTAAATTAAATTATTCAATTGTATAATAACTACAGAATCAAAACAATGAACATTTCACCATTGATTCCTTCCCTTCCATTTTGGCCACGTGTCAGGCATTTATGTTTTGATAAATCAAAATGATATACCAAACCAAAAACAATTTCCAATTTCTTGGTGAACTCAAGCCTCTGCTTCAGTGTTGTGTTACTCCAGAAATGGCAACTTCAGCGACTGCCTCTGTGATTGGTTCTGCAACTACCCATTTTCACCTCCTTATCAGGACTAGAGCCATTCCCTTCAATTGTCATCCACGATTAAAAGGTGCGTTTTGGGCTGAGAAGCAGAACAGGAAGACCCGGAAACTCATTTCTACTGTTCTTTCATCTAAAACTGATTCTTGGCGTCGGATTTCTGCTTCTGCGGCTTCTCCTTTTGATCTTTCGCCTCCCCCCATCGATCATGACCTCCTCGTAAAACTTCATCCCTTATTGTATTCTTATTATTGTGTCTTTCTTCCAACTTCAATTGATTCTTTATGTATACATACTGATTGAATCAAAATAATGCTTTGAATTGGTGAATTTTCTGCTTACAGGAAATAGTGACGGCAGATGGGGCAAAGGTTTCAGAGGATGAGATCATTGAAACATTCGATAATGATGATGAAGCATTAGATGCATTTAATAATGGGGTTGTGGTGGGTATCCATTTAACTTTGTATTCTTGCTCCAAAAAATGGTTGCTGCCTTATTATGTAACCCGGGATTGTTTAGAATTGAAAATGTTTATTCTCATATGATTTCAGTTTAGATGATACTCATTTTGATTTAATTCTTGCCTTTTGTTTGTTGAATTGAGTAGCTATGACTTGAATCTTTCTAAGATGAAACTTAATTAATTTGAGTGCAATTTGTTGCTGAAGGATGATTTATATGTGGATATAGATTGTTTTACTTTATTCTAGTTCCAACTTAGATTGATAGGTGGTGTTTCCTCAATCAATTATGGTTGAGGTATAGGTTGAATAAAGTATAATGAAATGGCTAACTTTTCTTTCACCATGTGGACCGAGGATGTTTTCTTTTATTTATTTTTCTTTGTGGTTTCTGATGGCTTAGGTCTTGGACTGTTCACATTATGGACGGATAAGGGGTATTTCCTTTTGCTCCTTAATCTTTTCATACATTTTGTATCATAAAGATTTAGTTCTTGTATCGTTGCCATAAAGTTCTCTGCTTGGTGAAAATAATGGAATTTGTCTCTATGATATTTGAAGTCAGTGGAGATGATCGTATTCAGTTTCTTCACAACCAAAGCACTGCAAATTTTGAATGTCTTCATGAAGGAGAGGTAAAATTAGGAGGGACATGCCGCTGTTGTATTCCATTTGTATAGTCAATGCAAACTTCTATTACAATTTTATTCTTACTTGATGCGGTCTTATGCGGTAATTGATAGGTTTTGTTCGATTGAAATCCATAGGGATGTGACACTGTCTTTGTTACGGCAACAGCTCGGACAATAGATCTTGCACATGCATGGGTCATGGTATTATCTTTTACCTTGTTTAACATATAGTACTTCACTTTCCGGCAGTAAGTATATCTTTTGGTGACTCATTAGGGTTGTGTGCAACTTGCAGAAAAATTCAGTTATTTTGGTGGTCTCACCAGTGACCTGTGGTAGCCTAACTCAAATGCTGAATAAGTATGGATACAATCTTTTTTGATGTATTTATCAGTTTTCTTGCATGAACGTTTAATCTTTTGTCAAAAGAGCATAATTTTGGAGAATGCATATATCTATATTCTCTTAATTATCTAGTTGTTTCTTCCCGTGTTTTCACATTATGAAAAGGTCAAATCTTTGTTCTCGTAACTTTCCAGTTCTTTTGTTGATGCACACTGGTGTAGTGATGCCTGGGCATCAAATTTCCTATATTTTCATCACTGCCATCCTCCATTTCTAGAATGCCTTAAATTTGATATGATTAGGCTTTTGCTATCATTCAATGAAAACATTACAAGCTTTTGATTTTGGCTGTGCAGATTGTTATCGACAATTTAGATGGTAGTTGCCTGATAAAGATTGAATAATTTGACAACAATTATAGATTTTTTTTTTTTTTTTTTAGTCATACCCCATTGTTTATCGACAATTTTAGACTGGTAGTTGCCTGATAAAGATTGGGCAATAACTTTGACAACAAATTATTTAGATTTTTTTTTTTTTTTTTTGACTCTTTTTTTTTTTTTTTTTGACTTGTTCTTGGTGTTAGCTGCTGATATCTCTGCTTCCTTCCTCACTCTTACCTGTCTCTCTGTTTCTCTCTTTTTCTATTTGGTAATTGCCTGATGAAGAGCTTGTCTTATTTTGGCTCCTTTCTGATTTGTTGTAGTTATGTTTGCTTTATGTTTAATCATTTCTGAGTTGATCTTAACTTTGTCTCACTTGCAGGTATATATTCTTTGCTGACAAAGTGGAAATTCAGGATGTTACTAAGAAAACTTGCTTCTTTATTCTAGCTGGACCCCAAAGCAAACAAGTAAGGAAGTTTCTCATAAATGTGAAATTTTTCTTCCAGTATAGACATTGAGCCTTTACTGCTTGTGGCATGGAAACAGCTAATGATCGACTTGAACCTTGGTGATCTTGTTGGACAACCATATGGCACTCATCGTCATTATAGTGTAAGATATAGAAAATTTCTGCACACCTTTCCCTGTTAAATGTATATTTCTGCACACTCATTGTCATATGGTTTATCCTTATAGTTACAGGATCTCTTAAACCTGCATGCTTGGCTAAAATACTAAGCCAATTAGTTCATGTGAAATGTGGTTTGTGAAATAGGATGTTTTTTTAGAATATCGTCTATGAAGTTTCAGGAAAAAAAAAAAAAAACAGAATATCATCTATGATACATTCTATTACATAATGCAACTACTCCTTTTGACCGTTATCCAGCAGGCTGTATAGCAGTTTCATGTGACAAATCAGTAATTGTCACTCCAATAATTTTTTTTTGTCCTTGTTTGAAGTTATGAACATCAAATCATAATCTAGAGTAGACATCCACTACCTATTTTAATTTAGTGCCTTTTCCCTTAAGAATCTTCCACTATTTCTTAAAATAAATAACATTCACATTTCAATCTGTATTTTCTCCATAATAAATAAGAGATTTGTCATGTTTGTCATTTTTTTCTTTTTTTTGTGTCATATCTTCTCTTATTCTTTTTGATTTATTATGTATTTTTTAATATTTTGTTTGCAACAACAATAAACCTTTGCTACAACAATAAACCTTTATTCAATTTCAGGCGAATGGGATGCCCATTACTGTTGGGGTAGGGAATGTCATTTCTGAAGAAGGTTATTCTTTGTTGATGTCACCAGCTGCTGCTGGATCTGTGTGGAAAACTCTTCTATCTCAGGGTGCAATTCCAATGGGTTCCAACGCCTGGGAAAAACTGAGGATTATTCAAGGTGGTGAACTTTGAGCCATTAGTGCATTACATTTCATGTTTATATATATATATGTAGATATCTATATAGTTTCAACATTCAAATTAACATTATGGAGCCAAGTACTAGTATATCATTTTACCTTACCTATAAAATGGCATGTTCTAATTCATGGTATAAGCACACAAGCATAAAATTGGTGGACTTGGATCCATGCCATGCCTTGCACCATAAATATAAATGTTAAATCTCTTGAAATATGTTTGCTCGACATTGTATCATGGGTATACAATATGGAACCTGCGAAATAACTTTGTGGAAAATAATGTTTTGACATGTGAATCCAATGTACAATTGTCATAAATGTTTTTCCTTTGTCATAACACTTATAACCATAAATGTTATTTCCTTTGTTGCAGCAATATAACTCATCTGGAAGACATTAAGCCTCGTTCATGTCTAATAAAATATTTTCTAACAAAGTGGGACTCTTGTATGAAAGGACATTTATGCTACTAGTCTACTATTACCAGTGTTTGAGCTCAAGTTTTTCTTCTTATACGGCTTTAAAACTATAAGTGCTCAATCCACTAATCATATATGTTAAAATGATTCAAGTGCTTACAGATTAAATGAATCAACTAAATTTGAGCATGAAATTTTTCTTTCTCAAATATGATGTAATTTGTTAATGAGAAAAATTTCATAATCTATTCCCGAGGTTGCGGTGGAGGTGTTTTTTTTTTTTTTTTTTTTTTGGTTCGGTGGAGGTGTTTTTTTTTTTTTTTTGTTTTTTTTTTTTTTTTTTTATTGTCAACCTTTTTGACAAACTGGTTTGTTCAATCTCATGTTGCTTCTATAAGGGATGCCTTTTTGGAGACATTTTGCATATGATACTTCTTTTTGGGCTTAATTTATGTCCCAATTGTAAATCTCAGATTTGATTTTTTTTTTTTTTTACAGGAATTCCTGCTCCTGGTAAGGAGCTCACTGATGAATTCAATGTCCTGGAGGCTGGTCTCTGGAACTCTATTTCTCTAAACAAGGGTACCTTAATTCTTCACTGAAGACTACCTGTAATCAGTTGAAAACAAAAATTTTATATGATCCTACTCTTACCTTCGCAGGATGTTATAAAGGACAAGAAACCATTTCTAGACTCATAACTTATGACGGAGTAAAGCAGAGATTATGGGGAATTCATCTGTCAGCACCAGCAGAACCCGGCAGCCTGATTACGATTGATGGAAGAAAAGTACAAGTCCTGTCCTTATTTACACATTAAAACTCAGTTCTATTCATTTGTATGTTATAATATTCCAGTTGGTGTGAAACTTTTTTATAAGTCTTGAAAATTTGAATTTGTGAAGGTGGGAAAACTGACAAGCTACACATCTGGAAGAAAAGAATCAGAACATTTTGCCTTGGGCTACATTAAAAGGCAGACTGTTTCAGAAGGGAGCACTGTAACTGTTGAAGACAACATTGTTGGAACAGTGGCGAACACTCCTTTTCTTGCTCGGCAAAGTCCGCCATCACAAAGCTCCAGCTCGACCTCCATTGATTCATTATAAACACAAATTTACCTTCAATTAAATGTGTTGATGCATAATTTGTTCTTTACTTGAACAGAATCTAGACTATTCGAAACAACTTGTAAATTAAATGTGTACGGAATAAGAAATATTTACTTGTGGAATGGAACTTCAAACATCATTTCACTGATCTGATTTCTCTCCAAATATAGTAAAGACGCACTTGTTTCATTATTTGCACCGAGAATATGAGAGTTACAAAGGTAATACTCATCCTCAGGTTATTTGATTACATGAAAACTGTATTTTTTGGCAGACAAATTCTATAAAAGAATTGTAAAGGAAGCATGTACCATTTTACTTATTTCTGAAAGGAACAAAAACTATAATCTCTACTACAAAAATGATAAAATCAATTAAATTCTGGAAAGAGCATGAACCAAAAGTCATGCATCATTTTACTATAACTAAGCTAGAAGTACTAATATATTAACTAACTGATGCTTTTCAATATGAGTTCATTCTGCTCCTCTATCAACCTTGCTTTCATGAGCTTGACTTGAGTTTCAGCCACCTGCAACTTCCTCCACTTCTCTTCTAATTTCTTTGCTTTCGAATTTCTAATACAAGTCAGTTTTTGCTTTATGTAATTAGCTCCTTAACTTGGCAATGTATAATCAGAAAACTGATCTAACTTCAGCTACTCATTCAAGTGTGGATACATAGACCAAAATTCATCTTCTTCTCCTTCTTTCTTTTCCTTATTCTCGCTGCCCCATATCAACGAAAGCATAAACATTTTCTCTTCATGAGATTTCAAGAAATCTAATGTCTGTCCATCTTCAAGCCTTTCTTTATTGTTTTTATATTTTTTCTTTAACCGCCAAATCTTGTCATATAATTGTTTTTGGCAAACCTTAACGTGAAGAAAATCCTTAATAAATTCAAGAAATGCAGTAACATTATCACATGCATAATTTCCCGTCGTCTCATGAAAATCGATCATACCTTTTAAAACTGTAATCTCTGTTGGGTTTGGGTTCCCTTCCTATGGGGTAAAAGCCCATATTTTGAAGTCTATTAAACTAATTATTGTTTTACAATTTTGCCCCTCAACTAACAGCCATATTTATGATATTTTTGGCTGCTATTTGATTCACCATCCAAAAACGGTGAGAAAAACAGAAAAGAAGAGGAGAAGGAAGAGGGGATTTTTTGTTGCACAGCCCCATCCCAGCACCAGCCATAAGTGTTCTGGAGATCCGAAGTTCCAACTGTTTGATCTCTGTTCAGTTTAAATTTTGGATGAGTAGAACATTTTTAAATGTATTTAGAACAGTAGCTGTGTTTTGTGATCACTCCATTGTGTTGCTACACATTTGTTTGTGGTTGTTTGTGGTATAGCTACATTTTTGGTGGTTTAGCTTGCTGTAATTTGTAAGATAATATTTGTGATAGTGAACTTTATTTCCTTGGACCGGAGGAGAGGTCTAGTGGTTTTTGGATAAGTAGAACATTTTTAAATGTATTTAGAGCAGTAGCTGTGTTTTGTGATCACTCCATTATGTTGCTACACATTTGTTTGTGGTTGTTTGTGGTATAGCTACATTTTTTGTGGTTGTAGCTTGCTGTAATTTGTAAGACAATATTTGTGATAGTGAACTTTATTTTCTTGGATTGGAGGAGAGGTCCCGTGGTTTTTATCCTTCACACCGGAGGAGTTTTCCACGTAAAAAGATTTGTGTTCGTGTGGTGAATGTTATTTTTGATTGTGCATCGATTGGTACTGTGTTACTGAATTGTTACTTCATTGGACTCTTAACAGATCAGTCAAGTGGGAAGTTTGTTAAGTTATTGTGATACTTCCATCCACAGATGAGCTGCGGCTATTTTTGTTATTGAGCAGTTTGCTTGTTGAATTTATAGAGAGGTTAAAATATGAGTAAGAATGATTTTTTGATGCACAAACTAACACACTTGGAAAAGGAAAGAAGAAAGATCTGTTGTTTAAGAAACACAATTGCCTTATGCCTTTTGATGTTTCAGCTCTTCAAATTGTAGTTGTGCCTATCCAAACAATCATTTTACTCCATATTTACCTCCATAAACACCCAAACCTAAGCAAACTGCTCAAGTGCAACAAAAATAACCGCAGCTCTGAACACCAACTGTGAGGAAGTATCACAAAATAATTCACAACAGAAAAACTCCCACTTTAATGAATCTTAGTTAGGAGTAACAAATTCAAGTAACACAAGCTACCCAAATCAAGCAGCAATTGAAAAAAAAAAAAAATTCAAACCACACAAATATACACAATCTTTTACTGAAAACCCTTAAACACACCACGGACTCTCTCCGGTCTAAGAAATAAAGTTCCAAACTATCCACAGAATATTATCCTTACAAAATACAGCAAGAGCTACAACCACAAAAAAGTGGTAGGCTCTAGCCACAAACAAATGTTACCAAATGTGTAACAACACAATGGTGGAGTGATCACAAAACACAGCTACTGTTCTAAATACATTTAAAAATGTTCTACTCATCCAAAAATTAAACTGATTGGCCAGAATTAAGAATTGGATGTTAGAAACATGCTCACCAAAAATCAGCTCAATCCGACAAAGGGTGACTACCGAAACGCTGAAGAAAATGAAGCTATGCAGAGCTGAAAGCAGGACAGCTTCGGATTCAGAGCCATAACTCAATCTCTGAACCTCTAAATCAAAATCCCTTCAGTGAGAATCAAGAATAGAGAGTAAAGAACAACATAGCCAAAAATATCATAAATATGGCTGTTAGTTGAGGGGCAAAATTGTAAAACAATAATTAGTTTAATGGACTACAAAATATGAGCTTTTACCACATAGGAAGAGAACCCAAACCCAACAATCTCGTCATCTTCACTCCATATTGTCTTAGACACATTCTTTGATTCTTGAAAACACTTGTTGAATTTTTCGTCTTGTTGGCCAATGCTTTCTTCTACTTCTTCAATTTTTTCTGTTTCTGCTTTAACTTCTTCATCAACTGCTCCTTCCTCTTCAGGATCTTCTTCAACTACTCCTTCCTCTTCAGGATCCTCTTCTTCAACTAGTTCTTCCTCTACTTCAACATAGAGTACAATATCAGGATCATCTTCTTCAATATAGAGTTCTTCTTCTCCGTAGTATTGGTCTTCCATGTTCTTGAATCTTTTACTACAGTAATCGTCCACTTGAGAAAAGAGATTCTTTCGCTTATAATACATATTGCGAGAATTACCATGCATAAGCTCTCTATACACGTGCGTGTATATCTATATATATATATATATATATATATATTCTATAGTATATATAGTATATAGTATATAAATTATACATAGTATACTAATATTATACGGAAATCCTATTTCCTACAAATATATATAGATAAAAACCCATTTATCTTTATATATATATATACGGAAATCCTATTCCTACAATAATATTAGATAAAAACCCATTATCTTTATTTCTTTTTTTATACAATATTTTTTATTATCTTTATTTTTATCTTTATTTCCAATATTAAATCAATGGTTTACTTGAAATTTATATAATTTTTCTATCCATTAATTGGAGATGACACTTTTTTTTTATAAATAACTTCTGGATTTTTTTAGACTAAATCATGTTATGATAAACATATATTAATACGAGACACCGACGAGTTAGAATAAAAATTTATAGAAAAAAAACTTATTATTATTAATTTTATTTCTAAACAAAGAGATTAATTCTATAAAAATCTTTTATTTGCTTCCTAATATAAAGAAAAAATGCATTATTATATAATTATTATTATTTCCTTTTGCTAGTAATTATTTAAGAAAATATTTTGAAGTGCAAGATCCTAGCTAGTGAGTGAGTTCCTATATATTTATTACAATATCATATTAGAAAGACAATTAGAGAGCACGTATTAGCCGTTTATCTTTGCAGGAAGCGATATATTATTATCTCATTTTTCAATTTGGAAAGGACTACAAGGCAAGCGTTAACATTTGTGCTATCCGATCTTGAATTGCTGACATTGATGTTGCTATGTGACAAATTGATCAAAAAAAAAAAAAAAGCAAGTCAAAACCTAATAGAACCAAAGAACAACAAAAAGAAAAAACACCATACTACAAAACCATAATCGACAGCAAAGAATCCTAAACTGATGGTCATGAACATTTATTCCAACGAAAAATTCAAAGCAATTACCAAGGCATTAATTTATTCCAAACAACAATGCAAGTCACAAAAGAAATTGTAGCATCAACACCCATTTTTGCCAAACTATCTGCTAAAAAATTATGTTCATGCATAACATGAGTAAATGAAATATTTTCGAAAGATTGAACCAAAAAATCAAACTTATTAAAGCGCTCTCACCACTTCCATGGGGCTTATCTCTGTGTTATCCAACAAATAGCGACCTTATAGTCAGACTCAATAATTATTGGATTGCTTCTTAAGGATATAGATTGTGATAATAAATCAACTGCCGTAAAAATGGCAAGTAGTTCTGCTTCATTAGACCCTTGAATACCCACAGATTCAGAAAACAGACAAGAGATCAGACCCTGAGAGTTTTCTAAGCACCCCACCAATACCTTCAGGTACAGGTTTACCCTTTGATGATCCATCAACATTGAACTTTAAAATTCCAAACAGTCCAAGAAATAGATGACAATGCTAGTCACTTTGGTTTCTCCTTTTAAATGTGTCTTATTGCTATGATTACTTGGTCTAAATAAATGCATTATCTTAGTTATTTTTTAATCAATTGAGTGATAAAAAAGAAAGTCAGAAACAAGAAACACATCAAGCATGGCATAGAAGGAAGGAGGAATTGTCAAGAATGGTCATGAAGAGGGGCTCAAAATGGCAATTTCTCTTCTTGAGGAGTTCGAACTTCCTTTGGGGCTCTTACCTCTGAAGATGTGATCGAAGTTAGGTTTCGTTAGGGATACAGGATACATGTGGATCCTGCAAAAGAAGAAGGTGGAGCACAAATTCAAGATGATCAGCAAGCTTGTGATCGAAGTTAGGTTTCGTTAGGGATACAGGATACATGTGGATCCTGCAAAAGAAGAAGGTGGAGCACAAATTCAAGATGATCAGCAAGCTTGTGAACTATGATAGTCAAATAACAGGTTATGTAAGCAAGAAGTTGATCAAAAAACTCAAGGGAGTGAAGGCCAAGGAGCTCATGCTTTGGCCTCCGGTTAGTGAGATAATTGTCGATGAACCACCCACTGGTAAAATTCACTTCAAGAGCCTTGCCGGAATCGCCAAAATTTTCCCAGTTGAGGCATTTGCTGCTGGCTAGTAAGACACTGCAACTGATTGCTGTTGAAGGTCCACCAAGCACCTCTGCAACAATTCTGCATGCTACACATCTGGAAAAAAAGAATCAGAACATTTTGCCTTGGGCTACATTCAGAAAGGAGCACTATAACTGTTGGAGACAACATTGTTGGAACAGTGGTGAACACTCCTTTTCTTGCTCGGCAAAGTCCACCATCACAAAGCTCTAGCTCGACCTCCATTGATTCATTATAAACACAAATTTACCTTCAATTAAATGTGTTGATGCATAATTTGTTCTTTACTTGCACAAAATCTAGACTATTGGAAACAACTTGTAAATTAAATGTTTACAGAATAAGAAATATTTACTTGTGGAATGGAGCTTTAAACATCATGTTACTCATCTGATTTCTCTCCAAGATATAGTAAAAACGCATTTGTTTCATTATTTGCACTGAGAATATGAGAGTTACAAAGGTAATACACATCCTCAGGTTATTTGATTGCATGAAAACTGTATTTTTTGACAGACAAATTCTATAAAAGAATTGTAAAGAAAGCATATACCATTTTACTTATTTCTGAAAGGAACAAAAACAATAATCTCTACTACAAAAATGATAAAATCAATTAAATTCTGGAAAGAGCATGAACCAAAAGTCATGCATCATTTTACTATAACTAAGCTAGAAGTACTAATATAATAACTAACTGATGCTTTTCAATATGAGTTCAGTCTGCTCCTCTATCAACCTTGCTTTCATGAGCTTGAATTGAGTTTCAGCAACCTGCAACTTCCTCCACTTCTCCTCTAATTCCTCTGCCTTCGAATTTCCAATACAACTCAGTTTTTGCTTTATGTAATTAGCTCCATAACCAGGCAGTTTTTGCTTTATGTAATTAGCTCCATAACCAGGCAATGTATATTCAGAAAATTGATCCAACTTCAGCGACTCATTCAAGCGTGGATACATAGACCAAAAATCCTCTTCTTCTCCTTGTTTCTTTTCCTTATTCTCGCTGCCCCATATTTTCAACGAAAGCATAAACAGTTTCTCTTCATCAGATCTCGAGAAATCTAATGTCTGTCCATCTTCAATCTTTTCTTTATTGTTCTTATATTTTTGCTTTAACCGCCTAATTTTGTCATGTAATTGTTTTTGGGAAACCTTAACGTGAAGAAAAGCCTTTAATAAATTCAAGAAACGCAGTAACATCATCACATGCATAATTTCCCGTCGTCTCATGAAATCTAATGTCTGTCCATCTTCAATCTTTTCTTTATTGTTCTTATATTTTTGCTTTAACCGCCTAATTTTGTCATGTAATTGTTTTTGGGAAACCTTAACGTGAAGAAAAGCCTTTAATAAATTCAAGAAACGCAGTAACATCATCACATGCATAATTTCCCGTCGTCTCATGAAAATCGATCATAGCTTTTAAAACTGTAATCTCGTCATCTTCATTCCATAGTGTCTTAGAACCCTTATTGAATTTTTTGTCTTGTTGGCCAATTCTTTCTCCTACTTCTTCTATTTTTTCAGTTTCTGCTTTAACTTCTTGTTCAACTTGGTCTTCCTCTTCAATATGCTCCTCAACGTGTTCTTCCTCTGCAGTACGCTCTTCAACTACTACTTCCTCTTAGGATCTTCTTCAACTACTCCTTCCTCTTCAGGATCCTCTTCTTCAACTAGTTTTTCCTCTACTTCAACATAGAGTACTTCCATTTCAGGATCATCTTCTTCAATATAGAGTTCTTCTTCCTCTGTGTCTTCTTCTTCTCCGCAGTGTTGGTCTTCCATGTTCTTTAATCTTTTACTGCAGTAATCGTCCACTTGAGAAAAGGGATCATCATCTGATAATTCATCAATAAGGAACTTTCGCTTGTGATCCATATTGGAAAATCTGGTCGGGTTTTGAGATTGTGAGAATTACCATGCATGAGCTCTCTATACACGTATATATATAGTAGTGTATATATATCCCCAACTATATATATATATATACGGAAAATCCTATTCCCATTCTCATTCGTGATAATACCTTTTATATTACCCATTGGTATTATTACCTGCAATTATGTTTTATTGTTCTATTTATCCTTGCGTCAATTAGATTTTGGATTCAGTTTTCAAAAATCGGGATTTTAATTTGCCACAATCGTTAAACAACTACAATATTTGTAAATAAAAAACCCAATTATCATTATTTCTTTTTTTATGCAAATATTTTTTTATTTTTCTTTATTATCTAATATTAAATCAATCGTTTATAATTTCAATTTATATATATTTTTTCTATCCATTTAAATCGAAGTTGAACACTTATTTATAAAGACACTTTGTGGATTTTTTTTAGACTAAAATCATGTATAGGAGAATATATATATATATACGGAAATCCTATTCCCATTCTCATTCGGAAATCCTTTTATATTACCCATTGGATTACCTGCAATATATTTTATTTTTATTTTATCCTTGGTCAATTAGGATTTGGATTCAGTTCAAAATCGGATTAATTCCACAATCGTAAAACAACTACAATATTGTTAAATAAAAACCCATTATCATTATTTCTTTTTTTATGCAATATTTTTTTATTATCTTTATTTCTAATATTAAATCAATCGTTTAATTCAATTTATATAATTTTTTCTATCCATTAATCGAAGTTGACACTTTTTTATAAAGAACTTGTGGATTTTTTTTAGACTAAATCATGTTAGGGAGATCCAATTTGATGAATATAAATTAATTGTAGGGGCCAAAAAGCACTTGAATGTTTGAACCTAATTTAATTTTTGGATCCAAACCCAAGTGGTGTCTTGATACCCTTGTCCTGTCTTTCTCCCTTTTCTAGTTTCAAACAAACCCGTTCTGGAGGTTATTACAATGCTAGTCACTTTGGTTTCTCCTTTTAAATGTGTCTTATTGATATGATTACTTGGTATAAATAAAAGCATTATCTTTGTTACTTTGAATCAAACAAATCACAGAGTGATAAAAAAGAAAGTAAGAAACTAGAAATTAACACATCAAGCATGGCAGAGAAGGAAGGAGGAATTGTCAAGGAGGGTCATGAAGAGGGGCTTAAAATGGCAATTTCTCTTCTTGAGGAGTTTGAACTTCCGTTGGGGCTCTTACCTCTGGAAGATGTGATCGAAGTTGGTTTCGTTAGGGATAAAGGATACATGTGGATCCTGCAAAAGAAGAAGGTGGAGCACAAATTCAAGATGATCAGCAAGCTTGTGAGCTATGATAGTCAAATAACAGGTTATGTAAGCAAGAAGTTGATCAAGAAACTCAAGGGAGTGAAGGCCAAGGAGCTCATGCTTTGGCCTCCAGTTAGTGAGATAATTGTTGATGACCCACCTACTGGTAAAATTCACTTCAAGAGCCTTGCTGGGATCACCAAAACTTTCCCAGTTGAGGCATTTGCTGCTGGCCAGTGAGACACAGCAAGCGATTGTTGTTGAAGGTGCACCAGGCACCTCTGCAACAATTCTACATGCTTTTAAATCTCAAGTATAATTGTCCTTTTGCTGCATTGTATTTCACTATTTCATTTTGCAGTTCTCTTGACAAGGATTTGATGAGCTAATCAAACCAGTGTGTAGAAAGACAATAAAATTCAAGAAATGGAGTTTTTTTTTTATCACAAAATATTGTTTGGCAATTCTTCTCAATTATAATAGCTAATGTGGACAGGGTCATTAATCTTACCCAAGCAAGATCATTAATTGATAATATATATATACCAAGCCAAGATCATAATTGATAATATATATTATATATAATATATATATATATTTATATATATATATATATATAATAATAATTAGAATTGCATTGGTGAAATAATCAAAGATTTAAGGCATCAAATTATAGACAAGTAACTGCAGCCAAATCTCTGAATCTACAAAGAAAGAGGGAGAGAGAGAGACTGCGTTTGGGCCAAACCCAAGCCACAATCATTTACCTATATTAGAATTGCATTGGTGAAAAATAATCAAGATTTAAGGTCAAATTAAGTAGCAGTACTGCAGCCAAATCTCTGAATCTACAAAAGAAAGAGGGAGAGAGAGAGACTGCGTTTGGCCAAACCAAGCCACAATCATTTCCTCATCATTTAGCAAATTCTAATTTTTAAAGCATTCAACCCAAGAAAAAGATCCTACCTTTTTTATCTGATTAGATGATTCCCTTCTCTATCTTATATATGACGATCCAGAAACCCAACACCTGGAATTGATGAACCAGTATTTAACATAAACAACGCACAGTCTTCAGGCCATTAGTGTAGAAATGGCCAATCTTGATTGTCTTCTTCTCTTATTTCTTTCTGTTTATGTAATTTCCCTTACCCATGGAGCAAAAACTAGCTTTTCTTCTTCTGGCTTCAATAATATATCATCCCAATGTCCCATGGACCTTAACAATGCTGTGAGAATCCCATGGAACAAAACTTCTTGCCAAAATTACAAGCCATCAACAAGCGACAACACCAATCCTCAAAACGACATCACTTCTAAAAACCAATGTTGCAGGACTCTCCTCTCGGTCTTTGAAATTGGCCTTGCTAAGCATCTCAAAGAAACTCATCTCAAAGAAACCAATGTTGAAGCTTCTCTGCTCTTGTTTTTGGCTTGTCTAGTGCTGGTGTTGCTGTTTTCGTCATATCCAGTTTGTTAGCATTGTATTTCTGGTTTGGTTTAGAGGAACAAGAGTCTAGGCCAAAGATTGGGTCGATTTGGTTCAAGATGGGCTGATTGGTTCATGGTTCAATACAATTATAAGGGGAAAATTTAATGAGAAGTATATGATTCGAGCTATTTCTCATTTAAACATTTGATTGTCAAAATAAAACACTATTTAAATAGAACTTATAACCCAGTTTGAATTATCTAAATAACATACAGATTTTTGCCATTGGATTAATTTTAATATATCAAATAGGCTATTATTAAGCTAGCATTTAATTAACCATTGCATTATTAACTCAAACGATTCACAAAATAACAAAAATTAATAAAATATATGAATAAACGAAAATACAAATTAAATTAAAACAATTTGTATAAATAAAATTAAATAATTTTACAATTTCTCTTATTTTACCTCTTGAAAAAGAAGGGATTCATACTTTTTTAAAAAAAAAAGAAAAAAAAGAAAAACTTCATTAGAGATGACTTACAGAGAGAAAACAAACATGGAGGTACACCCTTCCAAACTTGGAAACTAATATGGTTATACGAAGCTCAGGTTAACTCGTATTAGCTTGTCTTCAAATTTAACGAAAGGAGGTATCCACTCGACGATTTAAAATATAAAGAACAACCGTCAACCATTAAACCAAATGGAGAAAATCTTGTTTTGCAGAACAAAGAGATGAAACCAAGAGAAGCAAATCAGTATAAATACAACCTTCTGCACCTACATTTTCTTCAATTCAAACCAAGATAGAACGAAAGGACAAAGCTTCAATTCAAGAAGAGTATAGCAAAATAATAAAAATACAGAGATCAAGAAGAAGAGTGAAAAGCATCATCCGTTCCGAGTATATATTTTAAAAGCCAGCTGACAATCTAACCAATGCACTGCGAAGGTGTCTCCCTCCCTGACTTCCCAATTACGGTTATTAAAATGGGCTCTTGTTCTTTCCAGAACAAGATCCCAATTCCAATTAGAAAGTACATATAGTTGATTGATCTTTGCAAGAACTGTATCGTAATATGAAATTCCAGTTAGAATATCAATGGCTTCGAAGCTAATACTTTTATTCTGACGTAGAAATTTTTTTACGTCCTGGGGGAAGTGATTGCAACACTGCAAAGTGGGTAACACGAGACGACTGAATCCTGAATCATGTGTTTCAAAATCATGCTTAGCCAAGATTTTGTGAATTGGCCAATCTTCTCCACCAGAACCAGTCATGGTTTAATACAAAGAGATGAAGAGAAATATAAGAAGAAAATTTATGAAATGCGTTGATAGTTATATACTTTATAATGATAGTTGTGTGTGTGTATGTGTGTGTATATATATATATATAATAGTTTTAATATTATTTATAAATGATATTGTGTGTGTGTATGGTGTGTAATCATAATATATATATATATAATTATATATAATATATACTATATATATAGTTTGGACATTTATAATACAATGTTTTTAAAAGGCATGATGATATGTAATTAATTACTGTGATAATAATATCATAATTTTTATTAATTATTAGAAGCATGCCTTTCAACTTAACCAATTTTCCTATTACTCGTTGTTTATATTTATATAAAAAAAATTTGGAATATCAATTATTTTATATGAAAGAACAAAAATAAAGGTGAAATAGTGCAAAATTAGTTGAATGATCTATTACTAATATTATTAATTTCTATTTACACTCTGCTTAGTATAAATAAATTCAAAATATGGAATTCATTTATAAATTAATTCTAATAGAATTCATTTGTGAATGAATTTTTTATATTTGATATGATTAATTTAAAATATATAATTCAATTGAATTCCATATAATCATGTTTGGAACAAATTCATAATAGAAAATTCATTTGCTTTTATTTTTTAAAATATCCTTGAAATAGTAATTTCACAAAAATAAATAATAAAATATCAACTATATTTATGTTATGCTATACAATTTTTTTTATGATTTTATCAGTAAATAAAAATAATATTAATAAAATTATTGCATTTAATTTAGTGATAAATATATATTTAACTTGAATTCTCACCTCAATAATAAAAAATATTAAAACAAAAGATGAAAAATACAAGAGAAAATATTAAATAAAAAAATACTAATAATAGAAAATAACATTTCAAAATTTAATTTAGTGATAAATATATATTTAACTTGAATTCTCACCTCAATAATAAAAAATATTAAAACAAAAGATGAAAAATATTAAAATAAAAAATACTAATAATAAGAAAATACATTTCTAAAAAACACAAAAATATGAATTTGTGAATGAATTCCACAAAAGTTTATGGAATTCATTTGTTCCAAATAAGGGGTTAGATTCAAACTCTCTATATAAAACTTAAAGATGATGTGAATATCACCAATTTGACATTAAATTAATTTAACTTACCTTTTGTTTCGAATAAATAAATTTCATGAAATTTTGAGGAATTCATTTATAATTTCAAATTTGTGTCTTATTGCAAAAAAAAAATGAAGAGTTTAATTTTAGGAATTTAATTCTACAAACTTGATTATGACTGAACTAAATTCTAAAAAAAGTGAAAATTTCAAATTAATTTCATAAATTTAAAATAAATTAAAGTTTTATAATTCATCATTCTATCCTTCTAAAGTTATTATCCCAATGAATTTTCGATTTTACATTTATTCAAAATATGAAAAATTCATTTATAAATAAATTTTATCTAGAATTCATTTAATATCTCTAACACAATGTTGCAAATACTGTTTCTCTACTCAAGAACAGTCATTTTTATTGAATGTACTGTTACAGCAACATCTACACTATCTTGTTTATCAAATTAATTAATTAAACTATAATTACGATCAACAAGAAAAACAATCTTGTAAAATACTAGAAGCTTGAGTCCGTTGTTCATCACTTAATTCAATTGGAAATTCTACGAAAAATTTAATTCGCAAATCACCTCTCTTTCCTTCTTCTGTGGTTGGCATTCCTTGGCCTCTAATGACCTTTTCAAATCCTGGATATATAATATCATCAAACGACAAACACATTTTCTCTCCTCCTAATAATGGAACTGAAATTGAGCAGCCAGTGAGAGCCTTCACCAAAGGGATTTTAAGTGCCAACTCTAAGTCGTCACCTTCCCTTTCAAATAAGGGATGTCGTTTCTCCTCTACGACGAGAATTATATCTGCTGGATGATAGCCTGGTTTTTCATCTCCCTTGCCTTCGAATGTTATTTTTGTTCCTTTCTTCCATCCTGGCTGTACTCTTATCTTCAACACTTCCTCTTCTTGATCAATTATCCTGCAAGAAAATACATATCCCACATTACTGATGATTCTTTAAAACAAGAAAATATTCTTGGTCGTAAGATGGATATGAAAGAGTTATCAACCTACCCATTTCTGAGAAAACTTCTAGTGATCTTAACTTTCTTGATGCATCCACGGCATAGTTCCTCTAGCGAGGGTGCCGGAGATATGCTTCTCCGGCTTGCACTTTGCGATAAATCGGCAGGAGTCGGGGAAGGTGTTCGACTTTTTGCTAGTGAAGAGAATTTAGTTTCTGGGGTACACCTTTTACCGGTGCTTTTTGACCGGGAGGTATCTGGTGCCGGAGATATGCTTCTCCGGCTTGCACTTTGCGATAAATCGGCAGGAGTCGGGGAAGGTGTTCGACTTTTTGCTAGTGAAGAGAATTTAGTTTCTGGGGTACACCTTTTACCGGTGCTTTTTGACCGGGAGGTATCTGGTGCCGGAGATATGCTTCTCCGGCTTGCACTTTGCGATAAATCGGCAGGAGTCGGGGAAGGTGTTCGACTTTTTGCTAGTGAAGAGAATTTAGTTTCTGGGGTACACCTTTTACCGGTGCTTTTTGACCGGGAGGTATCTGGTGCCGGAGATATGCTTCTCCGGCTTGCATTTTGCGATAAATAGGTAGGAGTCGGGGAAGGTGTTCGACTTTTTTTACGTAGACTTTTTAAGTGAACCGAAGGCCGAGAAAAGAAGCTTTCATCCATACTCTTTTTCTGCCGATGAGAAGAAGTTCGTCCTGATGGCAAATCACTCAATGGTGATGTTATAGGCTCATAATCAATAGTTTTTGTGCTTTCTTTAATCTTTTTCTCATTAAGGATCTGAAATCAAAGAAATTCAAGAATTAATAAAAGTAAAGAAAATGAAAAATACATATTTACATTGTGATTTACAACTAGAATAAGACAATGCATGATTAATTTACCATGAAAGCTTCATTAATTTGTTGTAATTTGGCTTGTGCTTCAGTTTTGTTAGATGGATTTCTATCAGGATGCCATTTCTTAACAAGAAATTTGTAAGCTTTACACATCTCTTTAACTGGTGCACCTTTAGAAATTCCAAGAATGCTGTGAAAATCTAGTGATATCGGAGAATGAGAGCCGTCTGCCATTGAGAGAATTGCAGAGTGAAAGAAGAAGAAGAAGAAGAAGAAGAAGAAGAAGAAGAAAGATTGAGAAAATGGTAAAAGAAATGACCAGAGAAAAACTGTGTGGTGAAGAGAGGTAATGACGCAAGAAGCTAGCCTTTGTAGGAGGGCTTATATTAGGCACAAATCTGTTTTGGTAGCTTGGAGATGAGAATTGGTTAGTAACTGTACGCTTTCTTGCTCTACTGGTTTTTATTGTTTGCTCCTATTTTTAGGTCATTTTGGTTCCGTTCCATCTGTTATGCATAGGGGTGGCCATACTACCGTTTTCGAAAACCGGAACTGCCGGTTTGGAACCATTGGGAATCGGAATTGAAACCGGTGGCCTATGGTCAGGTTATGGTTTCACCATTTTTGGAACCATGAACCAACGGTTTCAAGAACTGACCAGAACCGTCTGGAATCGACGGTTTTTTCAATCAATTTGAATCGGCAATTCCAAGCAGATTTTGAATTTTATGGCAAACGGCTAAAATCGTTAAGAAATCGAAATTAGAATCGTAACCTTTTAATTCCAAATCGTAATCGAAACCGTTAATTTCCGATTCGGTTTCAGAACCGAAACCAGCGGTTCCAGAACTATGGCCACCCCTTATATATATGCATTGTTATTTCTCTCTTAATAAGTTTATCTTTTTTTTTTTTAAAAAAAAAAATTTCCTTCATTTCTGAGTTTTAAATCAATTTTCTTGCCAATGAATTTGCTAGAAGTTTCAAGTACTGATGGATATAAGGTGTTTGGTTACAAATCCTAAATTTTTTTTTTTTTTTTTTTGAGATTTTCAATCCTAAATATTGGCTTAACTAGCGACCGAATCTACCTAATTATCCTATTAATCGAATGAACCCTAATAATTATAGCACAAAGTAATTATTGAGCATGGATGGAATACTATTTTCTTCATTTTTCCAAAAGAGATTTATAAAAATATTTATGATTTGAAGTTTTAACCTGCCATACACTCCAAAGAATGTTTGAATATAAAGCTAATAATACTATAAATTAATTACATATTACTCATAATTAGTAACAACCAAGGAAAGATTATATTTGAGAAATTCATTATGAAACCAAATAAAAAAAAGATAACAAGATTATGAAAATTACTTTAATGGAAAATATAATTCGTTCAATTTGGACCTTACACAATTTTCGTTATAATTGATTAATGTGATTATAAATACTTTCTACGGTAATTAGAGTTAAAATCTATAATTTAATTCAATTCTACTCCGTCTAAATAAGATATAAAAATAAAAATAAGATATAAATATTAAAAATTAGGGATTGAATTGGTCAATTGGTTAGGTCCGTGATTAATAAGTAATAACAAGCCAATTGTCTCATCAATTATAATACATAAGACCAGAAATTTAGATTTGTAAGGACATATAGTTGACTTGGTGACATGGACATTGACCCTCTTGGCCACGTAACTATTTTGGTAAAATCATGCATCAATGCCGACTTGGAATTGAGAAAATGATTATTTCATTTATTATTTTATAAAATTAAAGAAATATTAATTACTTCTTTCTAATCTTGATTAAAGATGAAGTGAAGATTTGAAGCCAATTATAATTAGTATTTTTTTTTTTTCAAAATTGAATATTCTCAGAAGAGGAAAGAAAAACTCCTCAGAAAACAGGGTGATACGGTCTCAAATAAGACAACCGCTGAAATGGGCCCACAAAGCCTTCCTTTAGCTTATGATGTCTACACGTGGAATGGCAATGGAGCCCACCTCCAACGCGCAAGTTAAGCGCGTCATATCCAAATCAATTCCCCATAGCGCGATAAATGCACTCGCAAGCATTAGATTCCAATTAACAGCAACTAGCAAGCAAGCGCAGTACTGCAGCTGCAGTTGCTTGCCAGCAGCCAAATCTCTGAATCTAGAAGAGAGAGCAAGAGAGAGAGACTGAGTTTGACCAAACCAAATCATATCCTCGTTTCCTCATCATTTAACAAATTCCACTTTTTATAGCATCCAACCCAAGAAAAAGATCCTACCTTTTTTATCTTTTGATTCAATGATTCTCTTCCCTATCTTATATATTACAAACCAGAACCCAGAACCCAGAATTGATTAATCAGTACATAAAGCAAAAAGTCTTCAGGCCATAAGTGTGGAAATGGCTAATCTTGATTTTCTTCTTCTCTTGTTTGTTTCGTTTTCTGTAATATCTCTTAACAATGGAGCAAACACTAGCTTTTCTTCCTCTGGCTTAAATAATATATCATCCCAATGTCCCATGGACCTTAATTATATTTTAAGAATCCCATGGAACAAAACTTCTTGCCAAAATTATCAGCCATCGACAAACGACAGTACTAATCCCCAAAATGACATCACTTCCAAAGACCCATGTTGCAGGACTCTCCTTTCTCTCTTGGGGATTGGCCTTGCTCAGCATCTCAAAGAAACTTCTCTTTTTCAGCTTCCCAATTTGCCCACCTCTATTTCTTGCCTTCGTGATTTTCAAAGAATGCTTAGCTCTCTTTCTTTTTCTGATAATATTGTTTCTTACTGTTTCGATCCTTTGAATTATGTTTTAACTCCTAATATATGTGCCCATGTGCAGACAACTCAAGATTGGGTTGCTCAATTGGGAAAATCAACTGTACTTGATTCTGCTTGCAGGCCTGATCTTGTTGATCTTACTTCTTGTAGTGCATGCGTGGCAGCTGGGTTTAAAGTTCAATCTCATTTGATATTAATTGATGGGAATAAAAGTCATGCAATGGATTGTTTTTATTTTACAGTTCTTTATGCTGCTGGTATTGTTAATGAATTTGGTCCTGAAAGTGATGGTGCTGTTACATGTATATTTGGGTTAGACTTATATTCTAATGTGGGTTCAAGTAATAAAGGTCACTCTGGTCTTGTTTTTGGCTTGACTGGTGCTGGTGTTGCTGTTCTAGTCATGTCTAGTTTGTTAGGATTGTATTTCTGGTATGATAAGAAAGGGAGGAAGAGAAATATTCCTGGTTTTCCCTTTGATTTAGAGGAACAAGGGTCTAGGCCAAAACTGAGGCCAAATACTGGGTCAATTTGGTTCAAAATTCAGGACCTTGAGAAAGCAACAGATAATTTTTCACAGAAGAATTTTATTGGAAGAGGAGGGTTCGGATTTGTTTACAAGGGGAATTTGTCTGATGGGACAATAGTAGCTGTTAAGAGAATTATAGAATCTGATTTTCAAGGTGATGCAGAATTTTGCAATGAGGTTGAGATTATTAGTAATTTGAAGCACCGGAATCTAGTGCCTCTTAGAGGGTGTTGTGTCGTTGATGAAGATGAGGATCATGTTGACAGAGGGAGTCAAAGGTATCTTGTTTATGATTATATGCCTAACGGGAATCTTGATGACCATTTGTTTCCATCATCTGATAATCTAATTGAAAATAAATTATTGACTTGGCCTCAAAGGAAAAGCATAATTTTGGATGTGGCAAAGGGCTTGGCTTATTTGCATTATGGAGTGAAACCTGCGATATATCATAGAGATATTAAGGCAACAAATATATTGCTAGATGCTGATATGAGAGCAAGAGTAGCTGATTTTGGGCTGGCAAAGCAGAGTAGGGAAGGTCAATCTCATCTAACTACAAGAGTGGCTGGGACTCATGGATACCTGGCTCCTGAATACGCTCTTTATGGGCAACTGACTGAGAAAAGTGATGTTTATAGTTTTGGGATTGTAGTTTTGGAGATAATGTGTAGGAGAAAAGCTCTTGATTTGTCTGCATCAGGATCTCCACGAGCTTTCTTGATCACTGATTGGGTTTGGTCATTGGTGAAGGCTGGAAAAGTGGAAGAGGCTTTAGATGCTTCGTTGTTGAGAGATGGGGATTCTTCAAATTCAAATCCAAAGGCTATTATGGAAAGGTTTGTGCTTGTTGGGATTTTGTGTGCTCATGTAATGGTGGCCTTAAGGCCTTCTATATTGGATGCTCTGAAAATGTTAGAAGGTGATATTGACGTCCCACCTATTCCTGATCGGCCGATACCTCTTAGCCATCCTTCCTCTTTTGGTGATGGCAGTGCCTTCACCATCTCACCAGCATTAAGTTTTCCACAATTGCATAGTGGAGACATGCTCAGGTAAGCAAGAAAGTTCGGAATTCTCATATTTTGCATTGCCTAGGTGGAGGTAGAAAAGAGGAGCCATGTATATGAGATCATCCCTTTTGTTGATTCAAGAGAATGTCTATGTAGTGACAATGGATGTGATATAAGAAGTCTTGAACAAAAGAACTGGATGTTGGTTCATATGTGGATGCATCTTTAAAGACCTCATGTTAAGAGCCAAAAATCTGAGCTCTGATGTTAATGCTGATTGCGCTTCATAAACAAGAACAACTCATATTCTGATACATCAAAAGTGGCCTATGTTACTTTATTAGCATAATTGAAATTTTGAAGAGGGCTGGGACTTCTTTCACCTCCTACCCAGGAATGAACTGATTGACATTTGAATATCTAGAAAGTAGATGTAAATGAAGATTTTAGATCAACAATTGCCTATTAATTGAAGTTTTTTTTTTTTTTTTTTTTTTTTTTTTTTTTTTTTTTTTTTTTTTTTTTTTTTGTCATTTGCATCTTTTCTTTTCAGGATCTTCTTAGTCATAGTACAGAGACCCAACATTTAGGGTCTGTCCTGCAGAAAGAAAATTCGTCAAGAATACTTTGTAATTTCAATAATTAATATAACCATGTCATGTACTTCAAATATAAAGAACTTTTTTTGCATCTACTCTTATTCCTTTCATAAGAAAGTTTGCCATAGTCTTTTCTTTCGATCATGAGTTTTACATCTCCAACATTATGTAATTTGCAAGCAAGCGAGGTTTTTGATGGTTATGTATTTTTTTGCAGGTTTTGTGGGCGAGTTTTTAAAAGGATTTCAGAACAGAACCTTAAATGGCTCTTCATCTTCAAAAGTATCACACTTTTATTTTATATCCTTATAGTTCATCTAATCAGAGGCATATTTGAAGGCAAAATTTGTAGCAGAAGTTGGTTTTGCTGTACACTTACTAGAAGTAGTTTTGTTTGCACAGATATTTGTAGCATATATGTTAAGCAAAAGAGGATTTTGTTTGGAATCTTATAAATTATATTTAGCAGCTGTTTTAGAATGTAGGCAGATGGAAGGAAGTTATTGCAACTTATAATAAAATTGAGGATATTCAGTTCATAAAAGCTAATATAAAGGCTTTTTGAATAATGCATATGCATCTAAATAATGCCGTCTTTATATCATCATATTATTTCTTCTTCTCTTCTTCTTCTTCTTCTTCTCTTTCTTCTTCCTCTTTTGTTTCTAGTTGGTTTTAAATTAATATAGTAATTGTTGGTGTTGTCAGTAAACTATTGAATACTCTTCTTAGTTAATGGACTTGCATATTAGCCTTTCACATGGGAATTGAATCTTTGCATTATCACACATATTCCCTTTCAGCACGATATAGGAGCTCTAAATTGAACTGATTATCTTCCAATGGGCCAAGGCAATGGGTTTCTATGAAAAATACTTATATGACCCAGTTATTACTGAGTTTAGTGTTTACTTAAATCATCTCAACATGAAGAAAACTGCAGGATAACAAATTGATGCCTAATATCAAATGAACAGAGAAAAGACAACACTTCTTGATGGCAGTACGTAAATATGGACTCACAGCGCCAGGCCATAATTTGTTTTATGTTGCCACAAAGGAATTAGCAGGGTTAAGTTAGTTCAAAAGAAGGAAGATGAGTTATGGGAGAAATGCATTAGAGATACTCGGAAAACTGAGACATGAGCGAGTTTATGTGGGTAGACTTTTTATGGACTAGAAAGCGGACATTGTGCAATGTTTAAAGACAGGTGAATTTTCATAAGCATATTAATTTATTTCTTTGCATAACTTTTTTGGGTTCCTTATGAAGCATTTAGTGGATAGTGGCAACTGGACTTTTCCTGAGATGATGTTTGATAATGAATTCAATTGCAATCACATAAGTGTTTTCTTTGCATCTTTCGTAATGGGAATTTTTTTTTTTCTTTCTTATTTTTTCCACATGATGGATTGTCATATCATAGCAATACTAATAAGAATTGCTGTAGCATTGGCAAATTTCTCTTCACTCCTGTGTTTGGTACAAACGATTTATGAAACACAATTCATTTACAAATGAACAAGAATTTTCAGCAGCAACATGAATATTTTCCATTTATAGCGAAGCATCAAATTATTGGAATGTCAAATGAATTTTATAAAATTTTGTGGAATACATTTATTCCAATGGGCCTTTAATGTTAATGCTTTTCCCATACTCTACATTTGGGTTATTTATAGCTAATTTTCTTGATATATTTTCTTTTGTTCAAACATCCTTAATAGAATTCTTAACATGCTTTTTTTATTTATCTACATACAATATGCATGCTTTTGTGAATTTTCTCTCCATTTCTTGCGTGCCTTCGTAAAACATGCTCAATCTCCCTACAGAAATCCAAGCTCAAAACTTTCAATATTGATTCTTGCACATACATACAATCGGATAGTGATATGGAAATAGACAACATTTGGTTGGATTAGCTACTTTCAATCTGATGTGCGTCCTCAATTATTTTATCTATGCTGTTGTCCTCATGTTGGGTCCTATGCATATATATATATATATATTATATATATATATATTATATATATTAATGGAATTAGCATTATGGAGATGCCTATGAAGGATGAACTGATGATTTTTCCTGGTTTTCTGAATAAAGGAACTGAAACTTCTGCAGGAATTTTAGCTTTTTGGGGGATAGAGTAAACACTTGCAGAATGCCAATTTAAATTCCAAAAAGTAAGCCCAGCAATGGAGTCCATAATTAAATTGTGTTGGCAGAGGATTCTTCAGGAGCAATTAGGTAAAAGACATTCCCAGGTTGATAAGAAAAATAGAAAACGCTGTAAATGAACACACAATCGCAGAATTGTCTATAAGCTGGAGACAGGAACAGTGTCAAAACTGGCCTCCTGAAGGTTATAAGGTCCTTCAAGTTTTGTTGTCTGCAACACTGACACGAAGACAAGAACCATGCAGCCCTTTCAATGATGAAGGGATTTTTCACACCCAGTTAGATTGTTTTCTAGAGAGATCAATTTCTCTAACGTTGGTAAGTTAGACAGATCATTAGGAATGTGCCCGGAAGAAAGTATTATTGTTACTAAGATCGAGCACATGAAGGGATTTTCAATTGGCCAATCTCAAAACGGAACTTTGCCACTAAGGCTATATTGTTGCTTAGGGTATATTGGCTGGTGGTAGGCGGGAGAGTTTACTATATTGTAGTATTAGCACTACTGGACCTTGACAAGGATGGCACCTGCAGATAAGGTTGCGTATCACTTTGTAGTTTTGCCTCTGTTGAAGACAATGCTGGCAGTAAGTCCAACTCCTCCGTGGGAAATTTACCTGATTGGAGGTTAGTACTACTCAAGTCTATGTAGAAAGAGGCCTTTTGGTAGACTAAGCCAACCATAGTGGGAATTAAAACCGGATTATCTTGATTTTGTGATAGGTCCAAGGCCTCTAGCTTATGGAGCTTGCCTTAGCCAAACTGGTATTTGACCACTGAATTGGCAAACCACCTAAGCCAAATTTTGAAAGATTTTTGAAACCTTCAACTTGACTCTCCTAACTTCATAATCAATCTGGCAATTGATTCTAACATTCATAAAATTCTTTGATGAGAGGAGGAGAATCGGAGGTTGTTCAATCTCATCAAATATATTGATTGTACTAGTGAATTGGTTAAATGTTGCTAGAAAGTGAGGAAGGGAAAAGAACCAAATATTTTCATCGAGTTATGTCAGGGAGAATTTGTTCCTCCTAACTGGTTAAAAGCTCAAGCCTTTACTGTTGTCAATAACTGGCAATGAAGTAAAGGGTTGAATGGCAAGTTACCTGTAAGTTATTCAATTACCGGGTCAAGGACACGAAGCTTGAATGAAATGTAGAGAATTAAATGCTTCAAGGTCCTCCTTCTAAGTAGTTGTATCTTATATTCCAGTGACAAGGTTGGTGCAGTTGGCAAGAGATGAGGCAAGGACCTGTTAAATATTGTTGATAATGTAGGAGCATTTGTTCTAAGTTGGAAAGCTTCACGCAATATTTGGGGGGAATCGAACCTGTCAATTATTCACATCAAAGGTCGAGAATTTTAAGTCTGTGTGCATATTGGTGATACTGTTGCCAATAGTTCCCTGTAAAGGCCATTTGAATGTAAAGAGATTTCCTGAAGACTGACAACTTTGTATAATTCCAGAGGAAGTGACCACTGAGGTTGGTTTGAAAACCTGCTTCGAAAAACCTGAAGTTGTGAACACTGATCAAGTTTGTTGGGTCATTAGACACTGAGATCATTATGGGAGAAATCCAGGAGCTTCACAGCAAGAGTTTTTTAAAGAAGAATTAAAACAGATGAGGAAGGGATAGAAAATTCCCCCCCCCTGGTTTTTAGGGCTATTGTTGCCTGCATTAAAACTTGCCCAGTTTCTTGTTGCTTTGAAGAACATATCAGGAAATCCTCCAGAAAATTGGTTATGGATAAATTCCACTGTCTTTTACATATTTGAATGGAAAGTAAGATGGTAATTCACCATGAAGAACGGTTGTAACTCAATTCAAGAATCCTGAAGTGCAATGGGAGACAGAAAAAGCGCTTTGACCAATGATGAGGACCTGAGAAGCGGATTGTGGGATAGGTTGAGTTGAGAAAGATGGCCGTTCAAGGTTCTCACTGATCCTGTATTGGGATGTAATAGTTCAATATTATTGCACAACGTTATTGCACCTTCTTCTGAAGTGCTAACTCATACGACATCTGTTCCATTGAACATTGTGTCTTTACTCATGATATAGCTAGTGCTACACCTGAGGACGATGCCTTGCCCATAGGCAGCAGTTCATGGAAGACCAATTCAATGGTGGAAAGATGAGATGTTTGAGAGAAAATGATTCAGAGAGAACTCATGATCCAACTGAATCACAAGCATCGTAAAGAGAAACAAGCAACAGAGGTTATTTGATACGAGGGGTAAAAACTAAGTTGGCATATTTCTCTGTAAATGGAACGAAGGGTTATTGACAGGTGAAACAAGAAATGCAAGGAGTCAAGCTCAAAATGGGAAGTCAATGGATGAATATTGTGAAAGAATCATGATGATGAGAATTAGAAGAGAGTTTGACTTTGTTGGATTAATGTAATATTATTAAGCATTTACTTTTCAAATCCACTTGTAAAGTAACATTGTTGTAGGAAAATTTTTATTCTCTGATATTTATTCCAAATTGATAATGAGGAACGTTTTCATTATGACATATTGCTGATGACATCTTTTTTAAACAACTCCAACAAATGCATGAAAGACCCCACCTTCCATTAAAGCCATTTGCTCCTTTCACTCATCTCCTTCACTTTTTTCCTCTTTTCCACTATCTGCTCCATCAACACACCACTTAATTCCTCTTTCAATTTCATCACAATTTACAATTATTTGGCCTATACTCTTTCCTGTAATCCATTTTTAATTTCACGGCTTCAATTCTAATTCAATCACCATTTCACAAGCATTAAACTGCCTGCTCTGCGTTACATTGGCCACGTGGCAAATTTGGAACACCATACCATATGCTTTCCAATGTAGATTCCATCCACAGTGGAGAAACAAACCTCCTATGGCTTGACTGACTAAAAATAGCTACTTGTGGAGCCCATCCAACTATCTTTCCAATCTTACGCCCGTATCGATCTTAAGATCTTCAGGCAAACTTTCCTGTGGAGTTCTCGTAGTTCACTTGGAGATTCTATCTTTTTACCTGTTGGCGGAGGTCGACGTAGGGACCAAGAAATGATGCCGCACTTTATGTTCTAATGCTAGGCAATCTCTTTCACTTGATCCTCACCAAAATTCCCATGCGTCCCAAAGCACAGGAAAACCATCTGATGATGCAGGTTGTCATCCAGCCATTGGATGAATTTCCTGGCTGTTTGCTGCTTGTATCACACTCCAGATCAAAATGGGACCCACTGGACCAACAAGGCAAGAAGTTTTTTTTAGTTTTACCATTATTTAAAAGACTCGATCGCAATAGGATCTAGCTTCAAAGAAACGTATTTCGAATGATACTCAGCTTCCCTTGCAAACCTTCTGAAGTTGTTCCGAGCAACGGATGAAGTCCACTCCTTTTTGTAAGAGCGCAAGAAGGCATAAATTAGCGGGAATGGGTGTACTAAACTCGGCACTTGCTAACTCAGTGTCGATTCGTTTCCAAACTCAGTTGATCAACATTCTGTTTCATCGTAAATACACCAGCATATGATAGCATGAAACCAAGAAATGCTGCACTTTGAAGTAAAGAAAATATAGGAGGGAACACCAAAATCATTAGCGACATCTATCATTCGTGCAAAACATATCAATGACGAACCAGCGAGTCTAGGCGAATCAGCACAGGTTGATTTTCTCAGAAACAACTTGTTTGACATGAAGTTTCCTGGTCTCTTCAATAAAAGAAGCGAAATAAATGGTTTCGTCGAACTTGTCTTCGGGCAAGTCAATGAATGGATTTCGATTTTTGATAAGAAGTGGAGGGTGCAAATGATTGAATTAATTTTTATACATTGGAAATCAAAAAATAGATAGCTTCATGATAAGACAGTGACGGAGAGTCGGTGGTCGGGCTAGAAGAAACGCTTTTGGTCAATTCCACCATTGGGGGGGGGCTTATAAGGTGGGCCTATAAACAGGAAAAGGGACGAATAGCAGCTGTGTGTTTTTCCATTTTTAGTGGAATATTTATTCTTCTTCTGAGTCTGAGGTGTTTTGAACATTGAAAGCTGCAGTTGAGTTGCCCTTATTCTATAGCACGAGTCTAAGGATCAGGAAAAGAAGAGCCTTCGATGTCTGGTTTACTAATTTGAGGTATTGCAACCTGGGAACGCAAAGAAGCCAGACACGGTAATTCGTCATCGCTTTGCTGGTGTTACTGTGTGGAATAGTGGAAGAATGCTTCGTCCATAAAAATATTTTTCCTCTCGAGTTTTTAATTTCCAGATTGACGTGAAGAAAAATAGTCATTGTCAATATATATATTATATATATATATATATATATATATTATATATATATATAGTATATATTAGGGTGAATTTAATTTTATCTAAATTTTTTGTTTAAGGTAATGCATCGGTGCATGCAGGGACACAGGGACAGAAAAATAAATTCACAAATTTTTTTTTCAATGGTCTTGTAGTTGATTTGAGTTTTTAAAAATTGTTTATTTTATTTATTTATTCACCATTTATAATTTTTATACTTGGATTTATATATCTAATTTAATTTTCTATATTTTTCAAATTTTAACATTCTAGAGTGAATTGTTACTTAGGGCATGTTTGTTTTATTAGTTTAACTAATAAATATTAATTGGTTTTAATAAAATTTAGAAAACAGTCATTGTTGAAATGTAAAATGATTAATTTAAGTATTAAATTTTATTTTCATATCCTCTGTGGACTTGGCAATTTTTCGCCTGGATATCTATTTATTATATAAAATTTTAATAATGTGGTTGTAAAATTGCTATTAAAAAGGAAAAATATTCATCTGGAAAACCTTTAAATATATTGTGGTTTTGTATATTAAAATTTTGAACTATTAATTAATTTTATATTGCACTGTGGAATTAGCTAAACTAAGGTTTATTTAGGGCAAATTAACTATTTTGGTAGGCTGTTAGCTGTTTTAATAGCTTTTAGGTATTAGCTGATTTACTAGTTTTTTCATAAAATGTATGAAGTAACTTTTCACAAAATGCAGTCTTAGTTTTTAAAAGTTATTCAAAACCGCTATATTCAATCAAACACTATATTTAACATTGTTGCCGAAATATAGCCATATTTTTATTCTAACACCTATTTGAGTTGTTTCATGCTCGTTCCAAAATGACTTTATCTCGTAAGTTCCTCGAATTGTACCTCATTCAGTAGATTATTTTCCCAACATTGTTTTATAATACGCAAAATTCTCTCATTTTTACATCGTTGCTACTAATGGTCCTTCATAAACCCTCAAAATTCTCTCCTCCCTCAGATGAAAAATGGAGACTTCTAGAGTTGTTCTTATTAGGGATGGATTTTGGTTATTTGATTTGGTTATTTTAAAAATTTTGATTGAATTTTAGAATTTATGCAAATTCTAAATTCATTTCACTATGAAACTAAGTTTTTTGTCCTGTGATACGAATTAACATGCATTTTAAAATTTAAATGATATTAAGAGAGTCAACCAGTTGGTAGTCTGGTTGATCCTTCTCACTTATATGAAGAGTGGAAGATCTCGAGTTTAAGTTCTTTTAACCCATTTTGTTTCATCAGTTTTGTGAGCCAAGACGTAGGGTTATACTTATTGTGTAGCACACAGGCTTATCTTGGCAAAAAATCTCCAGTGGGAATTAAAAAAAATGATAAATAAAAGATCTTTAAAATTTATTAAGGAATAAAAACTTAGATGCATAAAAAATCAACCTTCAATAATAAAATTATATTCACTACACCCTGGGCTCTGTATTATTTGCCGAAACTTTTTTCCAACGACCTAACACCTTAAAACTTGCAAAAGTAAGCAATAAGATGCCTTGAACACAGTCACATTCTTGAGTAGGAACCAAGGCATCAAAGTCCGCTAAAATTGGGAGAAAAGAAGAATGACAAACAAAATAAAAAATTATCCTTTGACTAAGGTTTATTTGTCTAGGTGTTGCTATTCTTCGTTCTATTTTTTTTTTTTTTTTATATTTACACGAGATATCTATATTAGTATCCGAAAGTAAGTCTAGTTTAATATTCCGTCACTCTCCTCTGCTATTTTTTTTTTTTATATTTACAACGAGATATTCATATTAGTATCCTGAAGTAAGTCTAGCTAATTATTCGCTCATTCCTGCCGCTGCTCTCGAAAGCGCAAAGGGCTAAGGGAGTTTGCGTTGTGCTTAATTCTCGCTTCAAGTTTAATGGGAATTGTTTTAATTATGACATATTTTTTCATGACATCTTTTTATTAAACAATCCAACCAAATTGTATGAGACCCACCTTCCATTAAAGTTCATTTTGCTTCCTTTCACTCATCTTCCTTCAGTTTTCTTTCTTTTTCCATTATCCCTGCTCATCAACACACGCTTATCTCTTTCAATGTTATCCACAACTTACAATTATGTTCACTTCCCGATCGTATAATCCATCTTAATTTTCCACTGGCTAATTCCAATTCAGTTACGTTTCTCAAAGGCATTGAACTGGTTGCTCTGCGTAGCAATTGGCCAGGCTGGCAATTGGAACACCAACCATATGCTTTCCAACCACAGAATTCATCCACAGTGAGAACAAATCCTCCTATACCTTCAGCCTTCATGAGCTAAAATAGCTGCTTATGGAGCCCATCCAATTACTTTTGATGAAATTATGATCAAATGAGAGCGACAAAAATGGATGGGCATTTTGGGCTTCTTATTCTACTTATGCTAGCCATCTTCTCTATTTTTAATTTCTTTATGGAGAGCAGAGAGAGGAGGAGAAAGTTGGGTTTTCTCTTCTTTTGGAAAAAAAAAAAAAAAAAACCAAATCCCGGTAGATCTGTGATGTAAGTAACTTTCTTTCTTTTCATTCGGGATTTTCTCATTTCTTTGAGTTTAAGAAGTACCAACACACAACAAATACATTATTGAGTAAGAGCCATAGACGCCAAAGAATGACATCTTTTCATTATTAGTACTTCTCGGCGAGAAAAGAAGTTAACATTTGGCTAATTTGGGAGAAAGAAAAATGACAAACAAAAGCATATAATGGAATGTTTTGATCATGAATATTGCTGATGACATCTTTTATTAAACAATTACAAATGTAATGAAGATCCACCTTCCATTAAACGCCATTCTGCTCCTTTCACTCATCTCCTTCAACTTTCTTTCTCTTTTCACTATCTTGCTCCATCAGACACCTTAATCCTCTTTCAATTTTTATCACTATTTATAATTATTTTGCTCTCTTTTCTAGTAATCATTTTAAGTTCCAACAGCTAAATCCTAGTTCAATCACCATTTCAAAGGCAATGAACTGTTGCTCTGCGTACATTGGCCTGCTGCATATTGGAACACCATACATATGCTCTCCACACTGTAGAGTTCCATCCACAGTGAGAAACAATCCTCTATAGCTTGATGAAAGCCTAAAAATAGCTGCTTTGTGGCAGCCCATCCAACTATCTTTCCAATCTTAGCCGTTCGTCTAAGAATCTTCAGGTAAAACTTCTTGTGGATTCTCCGTACTCACTTGGACGATTCATCTTGACCTGTTCTGGCGGTGGTCGACGTCAGGGAGCCACAAGAATCTATGTCCACTGGTGCTCTAGCGCATAGGCAATCCTCTTTCGGCTGATCCTCATCAAAACTTCCCCAGCTCCCAGAAGCACAGGAAAACCCATCTGATGATGGAGGCTGATCATCAAGCATTTCCATGAATTTTCCTGCTGTTTGCTGCTTCCATCGGACCCACATTCAAAATGGGACCCACTGGATACATGGGAGGCGGTTTTTTCTAGTTTTTAAACCATTAGAAAAAGAATCGATTGATAGGATTCTAGCTCAAACTAATGTGTTTACGATATACCCCTTAGCTTTCCTTCGATACCTTCTGAATTGTCGAGCAAGGGGAGGAAAACCATCTTCGCTTACATCGCGGGAAGGCATAACCTTAGCAGGAAATTGGGTTTTACCAAACCCGGAACTTCTAACTCAATGTCCCCCGATCCTTCAACTCAGTTTGGATCATACATTCTGTCAATCGAAATGCACCTGCAAATGGAAGCACGAAAACCAAAACAAGCTGCACTTCGAAGTTAAAGAAATGTAGAGATGGCACACCAAAATCATTAGCGAATCATCTATCATCCCGTTGCAACAAACATATCAAGAACGAAACCAGCTAGTCGAGGCGAATCAGGACCCAGATTGAGTTGAGTCTCAAGAATAACTTGTTTGAACATGAGGTTAATTTTCTGTCTCTCATAAAAGAAGCTGATACTAAATGTTTTCGAGCTTGTCTTCGGGTAAGTTCAAGTGAATCTGATTCGATCGGACAAGGAGTGGAGGCTGCAAGTGATTGAATGTAGTTGGTTTAGTCGTTGGAACGCAAAATTAGATACGCTTTCATGACAAAGGACATGACGGAGAGTCCATGGTGGCGGTGGTTAAGAAGAAGCTTTCCAACTTCCACCGTGGATATAAGTGGCCTATACCCAGGGGTAGGGACCGATACGAGCTGTGTTCTTTCCATTTGACCAGGAGCTATCTCTATTTTTTCTCTGAGCGCTTGAAGCGCAGTGGACTGAGTTTAGTTTTCATAAGCACTAGGAAAAGGAGCCAGCCTTTGTTGTGTTGCTATTTGGGGTATTATAAATTGCAGCTAGAAAAGAACAAAAACGTGATGCCATTGGCTTTGCTGGGTGTTACCTAAAACATATAATATATAATGTCAAAAAAAAAAAAAAAAAAAACATATAATATATATGTTAGCCGCTTTTGTTGTAAAAACAAGAAGAAAAAAAAAATGACCTTATTTATACCAAACACTATATTTTAACATTAATTTCCCGAATAGAATCATATTTTTTATTCTAAATCTATTTGAGTTGTTTTCATTTTCCCATTTTAAAAATGACCTTTTTTAACTCCTTAAGCACCTAAGAATTCGTAAACCCCATTGAGTAGATTTAGCTTATCCCAACATTGTTTATATTTATACCAAAGTCTCTCCATTTTTATCTCCCATCTTTACATGTTGCACTATATTCTTTATAACCCTCAGAAATTCTCTCTCCCCTCCAACATATGGCAAAATGGAGACTTCTGAGGTTGTTCATTATTAGGGATGGATTTTTGGTTTTATTCTGTTTGGTTATTTTAAAATTTTGATTGAATTTTTATAATTTTATCAAATTCTAAAGTCCTTTAACGATGAAATTAGTTTTTTTTCCCTGTGATACAAAATTAAAATTGATTTTAAAATTTAAATGATTATAGAGAGAGCCAATCGTTAGTTAGTTTGATTGATCTTCTCACTTATATGAAGGATTGAGAGGTCTCCGAGTTCGGAGTTCTCTTAATCACAGTTGTTTTCACCGGTTTTTGTGAGCCAAAGAGAAGACTAACCCTATTGTGTAGCACATATTTTATTCGCCATATTAAACCTTTTAATGAATTAAAATAATAATAAATAAAGAGTGCTTAAAATTTAATTACGGAATAAAATTAAGATGATAATCGCATAATAAATTTAAAAAAAATGATAAATAAAGAGTCCTTAAAATTTTGTTAAAGATAAAAATTAAGATAAATAAAAAATTCAACTTTTAATAATAAAATTATATCCTACAGCGTGGGCTTGCATTATTTGAAACTTACAAAACTAAGCAAAAGATGCCTTGAAGCAAATACATTCTTGAGTAGAACATATGCAATCAAAGTCGCTAAATTGGGAGAAAAGAAAAAGTGACATAACAAAATCAATAAATTGTCCTTTGACTAAGGTTATTGTCTAAGATTGCCCTCTATTTTCATTCTAATCCTTTTTTTTATAACTTTCACGGTAGTCCCGTATCTATATTCGTGATAAGCCTGATTAATTTTCGCTTTGCCTTCGAAAGCAAAGGGGATATGTCCGTATCTTTATATTCGTGATAAGCCTGATTAATTTTCGCTTGCCCTCGAAAACAAAGGGGCTAGAGGAGTTTTTGCATTGCGCTTTAATTCTCCTTCGAGTTAATGAGATTATTTTAAATTATGACATATTTTTCATGGCATCTTTTATTAACATCCAACCAAAAATGTATGAAGACCCACCTTCCTTAAAGTCCATTTTTGCTCCTTCACTCATCTCCTCACTTTTCTTTCTTTTTCCATTATACTGCTCCATCAACACACCCCTTTTTATTTCCTCTTCTTTTTCCCGCGGGTGGAACGCCCAAAAATCTTACTTGGGTGAACGAGCTTCATCAATGGCGGTGGACGTCCTCAACAAAACAAATCCACTAACAATTCACTTGGCCCCACATGATTTTAACAAAGGAAATATTTTTAATTGCCCCCAATTTGACTTCCACAAATCTTTCCATCTCAAAACTTACTAAATGCCAATCCTAGTAACAAATTTCTTGTGTTCTCGAGATTTAACAGCCACCAATGGCATTAGCTAACTAACTCAATAACAGCATAACAGAGGAAAAAAAAAAAAAAAAAGTAAAAAAGACAAAAAGAAAAGAGGAAAAAGTTTCAGATTTTTTACAATACTAAGGAGATAAGAAGATGCAGGAATGATGAATTTATGATCAAATTTGAGAGCGACAAAATGATGGGCATTTGGCCTTCCTTAATTTACTTATGCTAGCCTTTCTCATTTTTAATTTCTTTATGGAGAGAGGAGGAGGGAAACTTAGGTTTCTTCGTTTGACAATAAAAACCAATCCCATAGATCTGTGATGTAAGTAACTTTCTTTCTTCATTTTCGTGGAATTTTCTCACTTCTTTTGGAGTTAAGAAGATAACATACACACACACACACATATTATATATATTAATACATATTAGTAAGAGCCATAGAACCAACACTTGGCTAATTTTGGGAGAAAAGAAAAATGGAACAAACAAAACGCAATATAATGGAATGTTTTGGATCAATGCTAATTGCTCCATGACATCTTTTCATTAACAATCTAACCAAATGTATGAAGATCACCTTCATTAAAGCCATTCTGCTCCTTTCATCATCTCCTTCACTTTCTTTCTCTTTTCACTATCTTGCTCCATCAACAAACCTTATTACCTCTTTCAATTTCATTCACTATTTATCATTATTTGTTTTTTGGCTCTCTTTTTCCTATAATCCATTTTTCATTTCCACAGCTAATCCTAGTTCAATCACCATTTCAAGGCATTGACTGTTGCTCTGCCGTACATTGGCCATGCCTGCAATTGAACACCATACATATGCTCCTCCAATGTAGAGTTCCGATCCACAGTGAGAAACAAATCCTCCTATAGGCTTTGATGAGAATAAATAGCCTGCTTGTGGAGCCCATCCAACTATCTTTCCAATCTTGCCCGTTCGATCTAAGATCCTTCAGGTAAAAACTTCTTTGTGGTTCTCGTACTCACTTGGAGATTTCCATCTTACCTGTTTGGCGGTGGTCGACGTAGGGACCACAAGAATCTATGTCCTGTGCTCTAGCGCATAGGCATCTCTTTTCGCTTGATCCCTCATCAAAAACTTCCCCGGCTTCCCAAAGGCACCGGAACCCACTGAATGATGGAGCTGATCAATCAAAGCCCATTCCATGGATTCCTTTGCTTGTTTTGCTGCTTCCATCGCCCATCATTCAAAATGGGGAACCCACTGGATACAATGGGAGGGGTTTCTAGTTTTACCCATTAGAAAAAGACTCGATTGCAATAGGATTCTAGGCTCAAATAATGTTGTTTACGAATAATACCGCTTAAGCTTTCCTTATACCTTCTGAAAATGTCGAGCAAGGGGATGAAACCACTCTTCGCTTTAACATCGCGGAAGGCATAACCTTGCAGGATGGGTTTTACAAACCGGGACTTCTAACTCAATGTCCGATTCCTTCAACTCAGTTGGAATCAACATTCTGTTCATCGTAAATCACCTTGCAATGAAGCACGAAACCAAAAAGCTGCACTTGAAGTAAAGAAAAATGTAAAGATGGAACACCAAAATCAATTAGCGACATCTATCAATCGTTGCACAAAACATATCAAAGGAACGAAACAGCTAAGTCGGGAGAATCAGAACCTCAGATTGAGTGATCTCAGAATAA